CACTAGAAGGAAGAGGAATGGGGAGAGTAGACAGCCTTGTCTGACTCCGGTCCTTACTGGAAATGCATCTGTCAGCTGTCCTCCATGCACCACTTTGCACTGTAGTCCATCGTATGAGTTTTGGATAATGTTGACAATCTTTTCAGGAACTCCATAGTGTCGAAGAAGTTTCCATAATGTTCTCCTGTCCACTCTGTCAAACGCCTTCTCGTAGTCAATAAAGTTGACGTATAGTGATGAGTTCCACTCAACTGATTGTTCAACGATGATCAATCAACATTTATAGTCAGACTAAAATGAATGACAGACATGTGATAGGTAGGATAAGAAGTGTGCATACACATACGCTCATATAAAAAATAGTCAAGGTCAATAAGGGAATAATTAACAATATCAGAATATGACTCATAACGTTACAGGTGAATTGGCTTGTCCAGAAACTAGAATAAGCTATGTAGGTGTAATATAGTACACGACGTTACACTACTCCCCACAAATCAAGCAGTTGTTCAGAATCAAATCATTCTTGGTAACATGAAGCTATCTGGAGCTGAAACATTCTTAAATTACATGATCCTACGAATGATTACTTTCACGATAATATTTGGCGTATCAAGTGAATACAATAAGAAAACGGAAGAATAGTTGAAGCAGTTTAAAGTAAAACTTTCAACTTGCAAAGATAATGGAAGTTAATAATTTCCATTTGTTGTCCACCGTCAAACGTTTTTTATATAAAAGAATAAAACATAATCATCTAGATGATCATAGATCTTCTGTAAACGAATGCCTGTGTATTAGCATTTACATAAACCTCTGAAACTCGAAATCTAAAATTTTGTGCTATCATTTATTGACTACAACTAGAAAAATATTAAAAAAACATGGAGCATCGGGATCTAACTTCAGTTTGATTTAGTTTGTAGTATTTCCTATGTTCGCCAACAACCCCTCCTGGACACTGCATCTGGTATCATTGAGGTCTGATAGTAACCATGATATTATTAGGCCACTAAAAAACTTAAGCCAACTAGCGGTATAGGTCAGCCGTCATCCAATGTCATCTAAGAGTTGATGACCTGGTTAACTTCGTGAATCACTTGACAATATAGTTAAAAAAAACCCAATTTCAGTGCTTATTATTAGTAAAACACTATTATTTTTTAGTTCGGTACTTTGTGGATAACTATTCACAGCTTATTTTTGCTGAACTAAGGTAAAAAATTGCTATCCAATTGAAAGTCTCAACAAATAACTTAAGCTAGGTGATACTGCAAACTTAACTACTTCATATTTAATCAGTAGTCTGAATTTAATTAAGATGTTTTCATGGAATAATGGAATAAATCTTTTAGTTCTTATACAAATGTCAGTTGACGTCATTATTCACACTCTGCCAATAAAGGTTAAGTCAGTATAATCAATGGAGTGAATTGATGAATGCTAAAATTTCATATGTATCTAGTAATATATGTCGGACATTTTCAGGAGCTACAAATTACTTTAGGATGAGAGTAATCCCTCACAGATAATGTTTTAAGCACTAGTATGATTGATATTTAGACCAACAAAGCAGTTATCGACACTTTTCAGGTGAACGATTGTCTGAAGACGAGTCAGGGAAAGGCGTTAGAGGTTTCTGGTCGGTGAACAAGGTGAATTTTCAGCCTTCAACAGTGTGAAAATTCCTGAGAAGCACAGTATATAGCTAGAATTTCCCTTATGAAAATGTTATACCTCACTTCAATGCTCCCCAACCGTCTCAAGAAGAATATCAAAGGTTCCAAAGTATCTTTTATCTTTAACTGTAAGATTTCCCCTACTGACAAGTTGGATACATCTATAGGCGATACTAATAAGTGTTTTGTTGCCAGGGTGTGTAAACATAGTCGCCTTTTTGATTCTCTTTTTCACAGCGTAAAATGCTTTCTTTGCATTTTCTTCCAAGTTGGTGATACTCACGTTTTTACGAAGCTGGTCTGTTAGGAGTCTCGCGAGAGGCATCCAATTCACTGTGGATCGTCGGTAAAAGCATATCAGTCCGTTAAACGTGTGCAATTGTTCGACTGTAGTCGGTGCTGGGTAATCCACAATAGCCTCTACTTTATCTTGCAGAGGGAGAATATCTTGAGCGTCAATAGTATGTCTGATAAAATTGAGACGGATTTGATCGGACATTTCTGAATGTTTGCAGTAATTCCGTGATTTTCTAATCGTTTGAAGGTAAGTTAGAGATGCTGGAGATAGAATTCTCTGTCCTGACTTGTTATCAGATATTCTTCCACATGTGTTCAAAAAATCAATATCTCCGAATAGGTCATCAATCGATCAGTGGGAAGTTCAATCAGGATTTATTCAGTTAAAAGGTATACTCAAAAGTTCGTAAAGTCTGGAGGGAGTAATAATGGCATTTTTAAGAATGTCGTCCTCAGCCACAGGTATTCGGTTAAACGCCTTAATAAAATTGATTTTCGAATAGTAAATGATGCTTTTCGGGGTAGCTATCAGGCCGTGGATGTGTTGTATTGTGTAACGATTGGGAGTGGTTTTCATATTAAGTCACTGACAATCACCGGTTGACTCTCGATCAGTTCTATCCTTTTCAGAGACTGTATTCCGAGGAAATGCCTGCGGACTGTTTGATGATCAGATAATTTCTAAATTCATTATACGATAGAATTCGTTGTTGGCCATTCTTAGCTTCTCAGGAGATAGTTCATCCACTTTCAAGAACACAGTTCGTTCGGCAGTCATGATGTGGCGTGTAACATTGTTAGTTGCACACAGTAATTGCAGTCATGTGTTGTACAATCCAGGATACCTGGCAAACATTCTTTGAAGTACTGACTGGTTCTGCGTTTAATCGTGATCGGGAATGACATGCAACCTACAGACTGACAATTTAGTACTTATGACTACTAACCTTCGTTTGCCTAGGTTGGAAAATAGGTCACAGAGTTGTAACACAAATAAAAATTCAGTTGATGGATTTGCATAAACACACGTTAAGGTGAGTGTACCTTTTACTCTAAGTAGCTTTCAGCTTTCAGTTTGCTGCCAGCTAATTGAAGACCGGATCTTGTAAACGCACATCGGTATTCATGGAAACTTTGACAACGTATGCTTCAGTGCCGACGAGATACAGAATTTCGTCACAACATCAATGATAAATAAGAGGCGGCTATATCCACCGTCTACGGTTTCTGCCAACGCATATCAGTGAGGAAGGGTTTCTTGAAAGGATTTTGTACTGAAAGGTTTTCTGTCTTTCGAATTGTAGGGTTTTCTGAGACTTTAGGGAGATTTATCATAAGTGTTGTGGTACTGTAGTGACCTGCCAGTCTCGATAAGAACACGATTGGAATAACGGAAACAATTATTATTATTGTAACCAATTGTACCAGAGATTGTTTTACTGTATTTGTTTAACTGTATCAGTTTCACTTCTGCTTTCGCTCTCCGCCTTGTTTGGTTCGAACTTGCTCACGCACTGCCTGTTCGCCTGTACTCTTTGGCACGTCTCGGTATTATTTCGATACCACGAGATCGCCAATAAATACAATTGATCTGGACTAATAAAGCCTTCTGATTTACAAAGGAACCAAGTCGTTTTTGGGCGCGTAAACGAATTGTAGTGGTGATCATAGTCCGTCTTCGACTCGACATCCACTATAGTACAAACAACAATTAAGGTTATCCGTTTCTAGTGGTGCGTAAACAATTTTTTTTGCGTGATGAGCTTCTTTGGAGGAGTTTCGGATCTTAGATCATGCTAGATGTTAAGAAAACGGATAATAGTATTACAGAGACCTGTAATTTTGCTTTGTGCTCATTGAAGCTTTTCTATGATACAATAACCCTTGAGTTCTATCGATCTCCATAATCTGATTGTCTGATTCATAGAGTTATTTCGGAATGAAACGAGAACTGCTTAGATAGAAAAAGGTGCCTAAAAAAGACCATTAAAAGTTTGTTGACCAGTGACCTGTCTTATGTTTAGTACCATTTTTGTTGCTGTGACGTGTTACGCTTCAATATTTTGGAATAGTTGGTCTATCGGTTAGGTCTATACGATTAAGGATGACCCTTTTCAAAGCATCGCAAGGTTAAGAAATTTTACTAGTAAACATACTAGATGTCACATACCTGTTGAATCCTCGCGGTAGTGCCTTTACTGCTAAGAAGAACTGCTCATGTAGTTTTGTCACCCCGTATTCACGGGGTTAGATTCTTCATAGCAGAACCAGGCTTGTCTATTATCAGGCCATGATATTGGTCAGCTTAGGTGTATTCTGGCACAATAAAATCATTATTTATAGATATACTGAAAAATCCGAGAATATTATGATGTGTGAAAATATACGTATAATATGCGGTGAGAAACAAGCTCACAGTTTCTCGTTTGGTGTACAAGATCACGTCAGGCTCACCACTCAAGATATCACGGAAACGGCGCTCGACAGTGTTATTGTTCATAAAATCTCGATAGTCGAGGATCCTAAGGCCAGCCATTTTAAAACTAAGGAGTGAAAGAGTTTGAAGGTATATTGGAAAGATGGTCACTTTGTTAACATGTATATGAACTAAGCTGAGGGAGGAGTAGTTTGGCTTGACCAACAGTGATATGGTGCATATGTTTGACTACGTGTGTTCAGATGGGGTGTGTTTAGTAAAACCGATGAGGCTGTGATCTACATCGAAAACGTATGGAATTATTTGGTTTGAGAGGTTGTTTGCTTCTACAGTCCATATAATTCAACACACTGTCCTCACGCCGGATGTACTGTACAGACACAAGTAGTAGCTAAAAATAAAACAGAAACAAAGGACGCAGAGTTCACTATATGTGTGTTTTATAACTATAGAGTACAACGAATTCTCTTCTCGGACCATATTATTGGCTAGACGAAAGCTTTTTCTGTTCCGTCCAAAACTATGTGAACCATCTGAACTAAGAACCTTGCCGAAGTTTCGAATATTTAGACACGTGAAAGGTTTGAAATAGACAGCAAGCAGTCTTGGGGGTTTGTGTATAACTTGTCATTTTTGGAATCAAGGCTATTGCTTGCAGTGTTTTATCCATATAATCGTGTGCTGTGCATGCGAAAAATAAATGACATATATTTCTTATTAATACATTATATCCTGGAAAAAGGAAACAGCAGTACTCCAAGTTATATATAGTTCTTCCTATGTACGTCACGTCTCACAAAATGATTCGTTAATCGAAAAGTTACATATTACATACCCCTACTGACGGCGTCAGGGTACGTATATGGTGTCTACAAACAGCACAATTGTGCTGTTATTGTGGGACATTACACTCTATACCCTTACTATCTTTAAGAAGGCAGTGTTTCTCAGATATTAACAAATTTTCACAGTTTCCATCTCAACCTCGAATTACCTATGCATGACTGCCGTCTTTCAGTACATATGCGTCATCGGTATTTCTCTGTTTGCTAACTGACGGACCAGCCGGAATCAGTCTATCTTTAGCGGTTTCTTAATTTGGTTTTGAAGTGACTTAAGTCTTTTCTTCCCCTGTCATTAGTATTGATTTAGCGGCAGTGACTTCACTTAATGAAAAAACGTTTCCCTTGTATCCCTAATTTTGGAGAGGAAAACGTTTTCGTTACTAATTAGCTCTCGTTCCCACTGAAGTTGCCAACCTAACAGACGTCTGTCTCAAAATACTTCATTTGGCCCGGGGTCGTCTCAAAAATGACTGGAAATAGGGCTCTCAGTGTTACAATGTCAAGGTATAAGTAATACCAAAATAAAATTCAGCAGTCACCTCTTATAGTGATGGCAATACGTTGGTGATTCTGACTTTCCTCAACACATGTTCTAGAAGTATATGGATATTATTGTCAACTTGAAATCATGTAGCTTATTCTGTTACGTGTTCTCTTGTATGGTAAGGCCAGCGCTTTACTCTTCTAAGGATTTGAAAATTTGACTCGTGGATTGTTGTACCTCAGTACAGCAAACTACAACCTTTAGATCCAGTCTGAGAGACCTGTTTTTGCCTTTTAGTTGCAGACGCTGAAGTCGTGTTTCTATTCTAAGCGTCCTACATATCGAAGATATCGTTCATCATTTAATAGTTCCTATTCGACAATGTTCTGTGGTCAATTCACTTCTGTTGATAGCATTTGAGTTCTTACGACTATATGCAGTACGAATCATCATTTTTATTCATAGGTTGCATCTAGTGATGGAATCCTGACCGTATCGTCGTATTTACTCTTGTCAGCTCGGTGCATTTGCATCAGTGTTGATTTTCACGCTGGTATTCAGACACAGTACCCGTCACTTCAAACGTTAGTGCTTTTTCACTAAGTTACCAAGTTCAGGCAGCCACTATTTTCCTCAATTATTATGAAGTTATTGGTAAGGGTTTATGCGTTCCCGTTGTTGATGTTAGTGACTAGCTAAAGCCGATGACAAAGCAACTCGCTCACGATATCAATGTAGATTAATCAATTCCACTCCTTAATAATAACGGGATAATATTAAACCTTTATAAGTGGTTAAAATCATATGATAGCAAACATCTCGAATCGAAGTGCTACGTGTTCCAAAATTTACTGCTTCTTATCAAGTGTTGTAACTGAGATATTTCATTTCAATTACAATATAGCCTTTTCTGGTCTTTTGTACTGTCCTTTTCATATGAGCATCACGTATACTTAGACTAACGTTTTCAATCCTTACTCTTGTCATAAGAAGTGAACCAACCAAGCTTTTTGATCACCTCATTTGTACTATAGATTTCTTCAAACCTTGTATCCTAGTAGGCATCGAAATATCTATATCGACACAGAAAGTTCATTCGGCTGTTATCGACCAGAGCCAAACAGGTATTGACATGAGTTTACAAAGTTGTCTGCTTGTATGGTGTTCTGACCACTGTATTTTCGTTAGTCAATTAATAAGACCACTTTACCATTATCTTATGTCAAGTTGATTACTTTGTACCTAATCCACTCTACATGACTTCATTTATTTAAACGTATAAACATTGGTGCAAGAGGGCACACAGTTATCGGTGATTTGTATGAGGGTTGTGATACTGCCCGGATGCTTTTACCGAAGCGTGTGGTTTCCTTAGAGGGCCACACCAGGAGCCTTTGACCTATATGCCTAATCCACAAGGCAGTGGAGCAACGTCAGGAGATGCGGTCCCTTGATAGCTGATGACCAACAATAGATTCATACATCTTCTGTTCCCTCAGGATCCTGGAGCCCATGTGCACCATTGGTTTAGCATCAAGTTTTTCCAAACCCCCTAGGCAGACACTCCGTGTCCATGTGACTGACTAAGAAGTACAATGGTTGATCATTATAACTTCATTGACTGACATAATAATTGCGTTATAACTAACATGGGTCACTCCAAGATTTAATCACATTGTAAACTCGTAAAAATCGCTTCGCCTTCATGACAGCGTCTCTATAATCGGAGATTTAAAATTTCCAAGTTGCTTAACTCTGATGTTTACTGTTGGATTACGTTTTCAGCATAAAGTCGAAACTAATTTCAGTTACTATCTGAATTCTTCTTTAGAGTTCTACTCTAATTGACCATTGGGTGTAGATAGTTGAAGTCAACTATAACCTCTTGGTGTTGGAAAATGGAAGAAATAACAGAACCCTCATCTATACACATTACTGATGAAGATCAAAAAAGAGCTGGTGATGTTTTTCTAGATTATAACGAATTTACCAAACCCGTATATGAAACACCAAAGTAAGTTCGACATGACAGTTTCAATTTAACTGTAACCTTTACGATTTTTCATTCATTTGTAGTGGTACTGTTTAATGACCACTTACTTTGGTTTCACTAAGGTTCTTACTGTTTTTTTCTCACTTGAAACTTCTAAGTTCATGATTTGACCCTGAAAAACATACTGAATTATATATATATATATATATATATATATATATATATATATATCAAGACATCCTATTTTATCTTCCGAATGTCGATCTCACGATAAAAGAACAAGTATCATACAGAACCTTATAGTCACCCTTTAGTCAACAACAACAACAGATTTCTCTAAGAAATGAAAAGCTCCCCCAAAACAATGATTTTGCAAAGAAAAACTCACAAGGTAATGATGTTTCAGTAAAAGTCCACTTACCATTTACATCTAGTAGTGATAAAGAGAATTCCATTAGATGATCGTCACATTTATTGTCTCTGTCCAGTTCTTGTTTAGTTTGATAAAAATGGCGTATTAAATAGCGTAATTTATTGTTAGTGGAACTGTAAAATTACCATCAATTCCGATTTTGCAACTAAAATTGCATACATTTGTATATTTCCATTTGTTGTAAGGTTATAAATACAAGAATTACAGTCGTCTAATTCGTTAAACTTTGATTTCTAATGTCACAGTCGAAAAAATTACAATATATATCGGTTTACTTATAACATCTCTCATTTGTCGTCAGACCATGGAGTAACAAACACTGAGTTTAAGTTTGAAGCTTAAGGCGATATAAGTAGTTCAATCCCACACATTTTAGCCGTTCTACTTTCCTCACTTATAATTTTCTCTTGTCGGTTTTCTTTTCTTTACCTTGTTATAAAATGTGATAAATCAAGTATATAGAGTGGATTGCTAAGCTTCACACTTTTAGTCAAGTGGTAGTCATAGTTTTGTGATTCATTCTTTTATTTTAGAAAGCCACAACCTAAACATACTGGAATTAGAAATGTTATGATTACATCAGCATTGCCTTATGTAAACAATGTACCTCATCTGGGAAACATGATTGGATCGACTTTAAGTGCAAATGTATTCGCTTTGTATTGTGATTTGGCTGGATATAATGTGCTATCTATTTGTGGAACTGACGAATATGGAACTGCGACTGAAGCAAAAGCAGTCTCAGAGAATATGACTCCACGTCAGATCTGTGATAAGTTTCATAAGTTGCATTGCGATATATACAAATGGTTTCAAATTGAATTCGATTATTTTGGACGAACTACTACTGATCAACATACTGAGTAAGTTGTCCAAATGGTTTTTCAAGTGGAGTTAGTTATATTTGAACGGATCCTAATTACAGTTGGACTTTGTTATGGGTTTGGACGAACGAGTTTATTAATTTTTACTGTTGAAAGAATAGCTCATTATTATCTTGACGAACTAAAATATTTAGTTCTGACGGACGACCAGTTCTCTACTCCTGTGTCTGCTATATTGGATAATGTTTAAACTTTGATAGACAATACATCAATAAGATTTACACTCTTTGTTATGCCAGTTTAGGCGTGAAATTACTTCATTCGGTTGGTTTTTAAAATACTGCAAAATTTTTGTTCATTGTGTTTACCTTCAGTCTCTTCCCAAACTGTCTCCCCAATTTATTATTGTTATTAGCATCAGTCTTTCCAAACTAATCTTAGTTTTTCCAGCATATAGGGCCAATCTTGATTGTCTAAAATCGCTGAAATTAATTCAACTCTTGCAATGTCAGTGCTTCGAACCTTCTGGCTTTGTACCAATACTGAGAACAGACATCGCTAGCGAAACACCTCGAGTTCATTTCTAGGGATGCAGATTGTGCTTTTCAACCCCACACAAGGACCTAAGTGTAAATACACATTTGATCGAAACCTGAGTAATATGGTGGTACGACGTGGTTCACTCTTCATACATTGGGATATTCGGTATTGATTTCTTGAGGTCATACAGGAGGAGGTAAACATTGATTTTGGAAACGGAAAATGTACTTTAAGTTTAGTTATCGATTCTCACTTTCCAATTAAATGGCGTTGTAAAAACTGAAAATCATTGGGATACACTGATGCCTGGTTTGTATCTTCTACTTGCTTACTCACATTGCAATTTAAATGAAGTAGACGGCAAATTCTTACAAAAGGATAGACAATTAAGTGTTCAGTCACTAGGCTAGTCAAAGTTTATGTCCAAATAAGTAGATTAGACTAAATGAGAGTGACATGTTATCAGATGGAGTAACTACAGTGGCCAAATTTTCAGGACAATCCATTCTCAATTCTGATGAATAATGTGAAAATATATGCATATTCGTGACCACACTATAGTCTTCGTCAACCTAGTGAATAAAAATAGTGTATATTAAATGTGACCAAAATCTTGATGTTAAATAAATGAGCCTATGGTTCAGTATTAAAATTACAGTGCTTTGACTACCACTACTAGCTTTCCTGTGCTTTTTTCAAGTTTCCACACTCATTATAAGTCACATACAGTTCTCCTTATATTTAATCTCTCCATGTTACTTTAATTTCACCGTAAAATACCTGCAACTAAAGGTATTATGTTTTTTTCCAGGATAGTTCAAGAGGTATTTAAACGCCTGTGGGATAAGGGTTTTATTACTGAAGATTCTGTTGAACAGTTGTATTGCGAAAAATGCTCCAAGTAAGATTTTTATTCTAGGATTTCATCTATTATATTTCAAAAAGTAGTTGTTATAGACAATAAATCGAATAATGAACAAATTTAAATAACTCAACTATTGGGTCACGTTTGTAAACCTACTGGTTATTTTCAATAGGAAACTCAAGTTGCCCCCGTACTATGGGTTTGGAACGGAAGAAAGGTGCACCATATTATTGAGTCACTTGAAATAACATCAATATTTCAAATTAACCGACAGAACTCACTCATCTCCAAAAGCTAGACATAGTCTTAGTGATGAACTTTTCTAATTCATTTTTCTCAACTAAAGGTTACCTTAAATTCAACTTAGTATTGTTTGTTTTTGAATCTTCCCATCGATTTGTTAGGACTGCAACTGGTCAGTCTCTAATTGGCATATGTGCATACTGTGCGTATTGCCTCGATATACCTTAATTCACAAGCATGGTTAGCAGAGATGGATAGTGGTGAGGGTACTGGGTTCGAGTCCCAGAGTGAACATCAACTCTGAGATGCAGGTACATCCAACTGACGAGTCCCAAATAGGACAAAACGCGTGTCCTGGATTCCACTGCTAGCCACTATCCATCTCTGCTAAAGGTTACCTTGCTTTTATTTTTAAGCTTAAACTGGATTCGTCTTTCGGTTGAGTCATAATAACTTGTTTTAATTGCATCGTTTAAGCTTCCTGAAAAAGTGATCTATCAGTACGAATTTACGTTAACACTAATATTTAACTGTTGTCAACATTAAATATAACTGGATAAATTCCAGAAAGCGTTGAATACCGCCGTTTTGTCGACACTGAGGAACCGCCAAAGATGAGAACCAGTTAACCATTTACCTCAGTGTTTTGTGGCTAGCCAGAGTATGGATCGTTAATCTTCCGCTAATCTTCGAAATCTCTGTTGATGACATTGGTTTGAATTTCTAATCTAGTGGATAGAAAAGTTTGTTTATATTTGTGTGACAATCACTTTGAATACGGGGATTGTTTTCAGTAGTCTGATTCTTATTATCAATCATTCACCCGTCCTATCTAATTCAACTCTCTCTAAACCGATTACTTAGTAATTAGCCAACTATTTTTTGTACTTGTGTCATACCGTGTGTGGACTACAGATGTGAAGTTTGTGTTTTGTAACCGTACTACTCATAAGTAGTCAGTTTGTTATGGTATAATTTGTATGTTGTATTCCATTGTTTTAACTGTTTTCTCATTAGTTCATACATTTTGCATCTGAATGACCAAAATGGTCATTTTTGAGCTTTTATGTGCTGAGAATTGACTGTTGTCCCTGAGTTTATCTCATTAAATATGACATTTAATCGAAGTTAATTGATATTTACTATGAAACTTAACTGTAGTCCTTCTAGGGCTACTGCCGGTCTCAAGCACGCGTAAAGGAGGAGGATTAGACATAGGGTCAACAACCTCATCCCTTAGAAAACAACCTTGCCAAATATAACTTACGGGTAGGAACACTTTAGACCACGTAAAGTCCATCTTGCTAGTTGAAGGATCTTCATTTATTTATTTAAACACATACATGTTAGTACAAAAGGGCACCAGATACATATGCGCCACACAAGATAATGAGAATGGGAGGAGAAAGGGGGAAGATGCGTATATATAAAAGAAGAAGAAAAGGATGAAAAAATAGAAGAGTAATGATGGGGGGAACTGAAATGTACAACCAGAAGACTCTTTCAGTTAAGAAAGTTATATCCACTCTTTATGAAGAAAGTAAAACATGGTTACAGCAGGCTCGCCACTGGCTTCTATTCTGAGCCATATCTGATAACGTCTCTAGCCACTGTGTTGCACCATCTCTCGGACCCCAGCCAGGAAGTCGTGAAGGACCAAAAGAAGCTAGCCCTTTGCAGCTTTCTTTCATGCCACGACACCATGTCCTACACTGACCTCTCCGCTTTTTCCAACCAGTCCTAGAGTCGGCAAATAATGCACGGCGTGGAAGTCTCTGGGACGACATTCGCAAAACATGTCCAAGCCACCGAAGTCGGTGTTTCAAGATGGTGACACCAATTGAACTATTGTCTCTGCGCCCGAACACACAATGCCGAACCTCTGCATTACTAACATGGTGTTGCCACTGAATGTCAGCAATCCTTCGGAGACACAGAGAGACGTCTAACATCCTTAACTCGGAGAGGCCAGGTTTCACAAGCATAGAGCAATACTGCTCTCACCGACGCGTTGTAGATCCGACCTTTTACAGCCAGACTAACATCACGAAGGCGCCAAAGATGGCCTAGATTGGCATAAGCCGCTCTGGCTTTCATTATACGTGCATCAATCTCATCACTCACGCCCCCACCAGCACTTATATAGCTACCAAGATACACGAACTTCTCAACTACTTCAATCTGCTCACCATCTAGGGTGAGTACAGGATTAGAATCCTGCCAGTCTTGTAGGAGTACTTTGCACTTGGAGGGTGCAAAGCACATGCCGTACCTGCGGACACTGATTGCCAACTGATTAAGTGCGGATTGCATGCCTTGGGCATTATCGCACAGTAAGACAATATCATCCGCATACTCAAGGTCGAGAAGTCGTTCTCCAGGCAGCAGATCCACACCGCCATTACTTACATCCATCAGAGCTGTTTCCAGGATGTCATCGATGGCAAAGTTGAAGAGGAATGGTGAGATTGGGAAACCCTGCCTAACCCCACTGCTCGAATGGAACAAGGGAGAAAGGTGGTTGTATGCCCTCACTCTGACTGAGGTGTTCGTATACAGAGCCTTTAAGATGTTAATGAACTTCTCAGGCACACCCTTCTTCAATAGACAATCCCAGAGAACAGTCCTGTCCAACGAATCGAAGGCAGCCCTGATATCAAGAAACACTACGATTGTTGGCTTGCGATAAGTATGACGGTGTTCTAACATTTGGCGGAGGGTGAAGATGTGATCAATGCATCCTCGACCAGAACGAAAACCAGCCTGCTCCTCGCGAGTCAATCGTTCTCGGGTTTTGAACAACCTACGAAGAATGATAGAAGCCAATAGTAAGGAGCCAGAAGAAACCCAGTGCTTGTAAGCGGGACGTTTCGCGAAGCCGCAACGGCTTTACTCGTCATTTTCATGGCGTCGTGAAGATGCAACCAATGCTCATCTATACTTTTCGTTGGGATGGTAGCTAGCCTAGAAGCTAGCTCCGCGTGATACTTACTTGCAACAGAATTTGCAGCCAGTTCACTAACATCGATCCGTTGATGGCGGTCAAACCTTCGGCCATTGAAAAGTAAGATGAGATTGGCGCAGACCAGGGCATGATCAGACTCCAGATAGGTACTCCAAAAGGAGCGGCAGTCTTGTACACAATCACGCCAGCGGTATCTGATCGCGATGTGATCAATCTGAGTCCAGGCTTGGGATGCAAAGGGAGGACTCCAGGTGGCACACCGGCGATGACTGTGCCGGAAGTTAGTGCTGGCTAGAAACAGGTTGTGGTCTGTGCACAGTTGCAGCAAACGGTCCCCGTTATCTGTCCTGCGACCAACAAGTCCCCATCGGCCACCTAAACGACTCTCTTCTGTGCCTAGACGCCCGACCTGTGCATTCAAGTCTCCGGCTAATACTACAATATCTGTCGAACGCGCTTTCTGGAGAAGAACTGTTAACTGATGATAAAACTCATCCTTGATTGCATCCGGGCTGCAATCTGTCGGGGCATAGGCGGAGATGACGAAAAGGCATCGATTCTCACGCCGGTTTCTTCTCACTTTGATGGAACTTTCTAATCTAACAGCACATAACTGACTGTTAATAGGGATCCAATCGATTAGTGCTGCCTCAGCCCTAGCGCTTAGTGCGACACCAACGCCAGCAAGACCGGACGAAGATGCCACGGAGTCCCCGGTTAAGCGCACGTGAAACAAGCTTTTCGAGGCGACAGATGGAGAGCGGATTTGTAGTACTTCACTAGAGTCTTGAATACGGGTCTCGGATAGACAACAAACGTCAACATTAAGACCTTCCAAAGACACAGCCAGCCCTATCTGTTGTCTGATCTGCATTAGTGTACGAACGTTGAAGGAAGCCAGCTTAAACGGCGTACGTGGTTTCAGAAAGACTGCTTCAGTATTCGTAATCGGTGGAAGCATTCACTTTCAACCAGACAGTGACTGGAGATCGTTTAGATAGGACAGATTTTCCACCAAGAGCGAGCTGCTACATAAGTTGAAAAGTAAGGTTACACAAATTGGGGATATAAGGGGGTGAATTATCGATATGGTAAATAATAATAATAACAATAATAGTAATAATGCAAATTGATTTTTTTGTAGTATGAACGAGAATATAATTGTCAGTTGAATGTTCCATTTCATTTGTTTGCGAGAGGGCTGTGATACTGCCCGGGTGCCCAAACCGAAGCAGGTGGTTTTCTTAGGGGGCCACACCCCGAGCCTTTGACCTAGAGGTCTAACCCACAAGGCAGTGGAGCATTGTGAGGAGATGCGGTCCCATGGTAGCCGTTGACCAACAACAGGTTCATTCGCCATTTGTTCCTTCAGTATACGGGAGCCCATGTGCACCATTGGTTTGGAATCAGGGTTTTCCAACTCATCTAGGTGGATCCTTCATACCCACCAACCCAGTTATAGCAACGGGTATTCGCTTTTCGTCCTCTCACTTTCGTGGCGCATATTTATCTGTTGCTTCCTTGTACCAATATTTATGTGTTTAAATAAATAAATAATAAATAAACAACACCCCCGCCACGAGAAGGTAGTGAGTAGGACTTCCCTGGCAGGGGCTATATACGCGCGGCCATGTGAGAGCATTTCGAGAGGGAGAGCGGACTCTCCCCACTCTCGGCCGTACCAGGGCATTTGGGGGCGAAGAATTTTCATATCTTCATATAGAAGAATCATGATGCCTCATGTTGAAGGCCGAGATTCTGCAGAAGTCACGAAACCTATCCTCCTTCTAATAACCAGGGCAACAATTACATAATTACTTGGAGTGTCCTGAAAATTCGGGAGACAAGGAGGATCGATCAAATAACTGCAGAAATGAGGAGATACAACTTGACGGTTCTGGGAATCAGTGAAACCCATTGAACCCAAACTGGATATAAAAGGATGGATTCAGGAGAGATGCTATTGTACTCTAGTCATGAGGAAGAAAGTGCTTCGTGCACTCAGAGAGTTGCACTAATTCTGTCCAAATAATCACATAAATCACTTAGAGGATGGGAATCTGACGAATAGAAAATCATCGAAGCATTCTTCAAAACAAAGAAGGTAATTATAATGAATGGTATCCAGTGTTAAACGCCTACCAATCCTAGCAACGAAGACGATAAAGATCAATATTATGAGAGGCTGCAGTTGGTCGTAGAGAAGTGTCCGGAAAAGGACCTGACCATTCTGATAGGAGACAACACTGGGTATGAAGATATCATGGGACAACATAGACTGACTAGAAGAACGAGAATGGTGAGAGATCTGCAAATTTATATGCGTTCAACAAAAAGGTTATAAGTGGTACTATATTCGCCCACAAACACATACACAAAGCTATATAGGTCTCATCGGTTCACACTATAGAGAATCAGATCGATCACATCTGAATCACTAAAATATTCAGAAAATCCATGGAGGACGTAAAAACAAAGAGAGGAGCAGACATAGCTTCAGATCACCACGTGGTCGTTGCCAAGATGAAATTGAAGCTAAGGAAACACTAAACAACTGGAAAAACAGCATTACAAAGGTTTAATACAGCCTTCCTTCGAGACACTGACACTCAACAAATTCAAAATAGCTCTCAACAACAGGTTCCAGGCCTTACTAGATCTACTCAAAGAAGAACAAGCTGCTATGGCGGACAACTGGAAAGGGATCAAAGAAGCATCAGCTTCAATATGTCAGGAGGTTCTGGGCCGCAACAAACATCGTCATAAGGAATGGATCTCTATGGAAACCCTGGACAAGATTGAAGAGAGTTAGAACAAGAAGACAGCAATTAATAACACCCGAACGAAAACAGAGGAAGTCAAGGCACAAGCTAAATACACAGAAGCAAACAAGCAAGTGGAGAAGAGCATTAGAGCCGACAAGCAGAAATACATGGAAGAGCTAGACAGTGTAAAAATCAGGATGGCCATCAGACAAATCAAGAGTGGGAAAGCAGCAGCGCCTGACAATATACTAGTCGAAGCACTGAGGTCAGACATAGCACTAACTACAAACATGCTCCACATCCTTCATAGGAAGATTTGAGAGGACGAACAAGTGCCGACAAGAAGACTGGAAAGAAGGACACCTCATCAAGATACGAAAGAAAGGAGATCTGAGCAAATGTGAGAATTACAGAAGCATCACACTGTTTTCAGTTCCAGGAAAAGTTTTCAACAGAGTTTTGCTGAACAGGATGAAAGACGCAGTAGACGCTCGACTTCGAGGTCAACAAGTTGGATTCCTTGAATCTTATTCATTGCCTTCGATTCGCCTTGCCTTGCATTACCTTATTTCGCTTCGACTCGTTTGGTCTTTGTCGTGCCTCGCTTCGATTTGACTATAAATTACGCCTCTGTATTCTCTAGCACACGCACATTAGCCTCTCTGCTCCAATTTGCTCCATGTGCTTGTAACTTTGTTATCTGTGCTATCGAATAATAAACTGTAGTCACCACTTCTTGTTACCTCCTGAATTCATACACCGTTGGGATTTATATAATAACAGTTATCAGGGTGATTAACAAACAAAGCCAAGCCATTACACTCTTCGACGAGGGGTAACAGGCGTAAGTAATTATAATAATTTATTGCTAAAATGTATTCCTACATTAATATTTTGGAAAGCAAAGTCTTCTGTTTTTATTTTATTTATTTATTTATTCCAATGAATCTCATAAGTGATACCATACATTTGCCAAAACTGAAGTAGGTGGTGTGGGTTTTTGAACTTGTGCAACTCGGTAATTGGAGTTAAGTGCTTCACGACCATTAAGCTACCTCTTCACTGCGTTATAACTCGGGAGCTAGTACACTATCGAATGCGGTTAGTTATGCAAAACACCAAATGGTTGAATCTCAATTCTAACCTGGTTAACAGTTAAATCCCATACCTCACTTATTAGAGTACCGATCCGGTAAGATATGGGTGACTGATTGAAAACCAGTCAATCCATTTTTTTCTCAATAACAGCAAGTCTATCAATCAAGGTTTTTTCCGATCTATGTAATTAACCACAAATATGTATTCTTGAATTACTGTTAGATTAATCCGTTATACAGTAAACTGTTAACATAATAATTTTGATTTTACTCTAAAGATTTCTTGCAGATCGTTTTGTTGAAGGAGTTTGCCCTTTGTGTAAATACCATGACGCACGAGGTGATCAATGTGATAAATGTGGGCGTCTTATGAATGCTGTCGAATTAATCGAACCACGTTGTAAGATGTGTTCTCAAAAACCTGTGGTGCGTTCTTCACGCCATTTGTTTCTTGATCTTCCAAAGGTAACGTTATTACTTTTGATTTAAAAAAGGCGTTTATTTTAGATGCTAACGTTCATATAGTTTACACTAATCTTATCTAATAATTTCTAATCGCTTATGTTATATATCCTAATATTCTGCGTGTGGTTGTTTAGCAGTGCTGAAAGCATTCAATAGAACTCTACTCCTCGTAATTCTTTGCTTACTTTCATTTACAGACGAATTGGTTAGGGTTCGTGCTATTAGCGTAACCAATCGTTGGAGACGTTAAGTGATGTGGTCCAGAATCGTTTTCAGTGGCCCAGATCAATTTATCCCTTTTCTTTATTTAAAATTGCCTTATATTTTTGACCCGTGGAATTCATTCTTAAATCATGTTATGTCTACTTGATCTTTTCTACCACCACTTATACTGTTACTATTTCTACTATTTTATATGTGTTAATAATATTATCTCGCTGTGCTGATTTGATGTAACAACTTGAACCAGTGCACATAGGTGTCACATTTTTACGTTGCTTATAAGTAGTGAATTAGAGAATAGCTTTGTTAGCTCTTTACCTCTCTGCTTACTGAGTTATATTAATTAACTGGCCAATTACTATTTTAGATTGAAAACAAGTTGAACACATTCGTTGAACAACGTATTAACGATTCCTCTTGTGTGTGGACCTCAAATGCTTGTACTATATCAAGTTCATGGTTGAGAGATGGTTTAAAGCCAAGGTGTATTACACGTGATTTGCATTGGGGTGTACCGGTTCCTTTGGAAGCTTATAAAGATAAGGTAACTAACTGTTTGTATATACGTACATACTTTTACCTTTTTTTGATGATTACGCAATATTATTTTCATTAACATTGTTTTTTCGTTGCCAATATGTTACTATCCCATTCTTTGTTATCATCCAGTTAACTTATGAAAGAGAAAATATTTTAAAGTTTAATATTATATACCCTAAATTGAGGAGAGATTTCGGTATGAAACTGTAAGAGTTTAAATTGTAGAATCCAAAGGTCATATGGTTCATGCATTCCCTACAATGCTTTAAAGATTGTTTAAGCGGTGAATAATATAAAGTTATAGTACAACTATCATCTACTAGCTGGTTATAGTAGTTTTCTGAAATTAAAAATTTTCTTAAAATTCATGACTTGTGATATCACTGTTTTTTTTCAACATACGACTTGTGATATTTGTCATTAGTTTTAGTGATAATAATCATCATAAATATATAAGTAGTAATTGTTGAACAAGTTACCAATTCAGTCTTTTGGGCATCCAACTTTAAATCATTATGTTACAGCTTGACGACTACTTCATATGTTTCCTTCCAACAAGAGAAAGTAGAGAGTGGGTAACTTGATGGTTAAGTCAGTTGACTTACAACCATTTAGTCGAAAGCTTAAACTTCTTTCTACTTACTTCAGTTCTAGGAGCCGTATAATATTGCCTCAGAGTGAAATACATATACATTTACTTGGTACATGAATTACTCAGTAGTAATGATTAGCAGGATGTGAGGGTGCGGACCGGCAAAGCAAGAGCAGCATATTTACAACTGAAGAACATATGGAACTCAAAACAATTGTCAGCCAACACCAAGGTCAGAATTTTCTATACAAATGTCAAGATAGTTCTACTGTATGGGGCGTAGACGTGAAGAACTACGAAAGCCATCATCCAGAAGATAAAGGTGTTTATCAACAGTTGCCTACGCAAGATACTTCAGATCCGTTGGCCAAACATTATCAGCAACAAGCTACTGTGGGAGAGAACAAACCAGATTCCATCCAGTGGAAGAAGAAATCAGGAAGAAGCACTGGAAGTGGATAGGACATACATTGGGGAAAGCACGCAACTGCATCACAACGCAAGCCCTCACATGGAGTCCTGAAGGCGAAAGGAGAAGAGGAAGACCAAAGAACACACTACGCCGAGAAATAGAGACAGACATGAGAAGAATGAACAAAAAATGAATAGAACTAGAAAAGAAGGCCCAGGACAGAATGGGTTGGAGATAGCTGGTCGGCGGCCTATGCTCCATTGGGAGTAACAGGCATAAGTAAGTAAGTAAGTAATGATTAGCAGAGGACAGATTATATTGTATAATGTTTGCAACAACTCTAAACTTTTTCAAATACCAAAACATTCTGATGAAAATAAATTATTTAGGCTTGCCACTTAAAAAACAATTCTGACTTATCGTTACTAATTATTAAGAAAAGTCTAATTTATCATAGTTTATCATATTATTCCATTTATTACAAGTCTTCATTACACTTCATTATTGATATCTTCTATTAAATTTATAAACATTTCTGCTCAATTCCAGTCACTTTTATTTATCTTAATTATTCATAAATTTGGTTTATGAATTGTTCACCTCATCTTGAATTTATAAATCCTTCATTATGTTCAAGGTGTTTTATGTTTGGTTCGATGCAACTATTGGTTATATGTCGATTACAGCAAATTACACAAAACACTGGAAACAATGGTGGCAACCATCTGATGATAATGAAATTGAATTATTTCAATTTATGGCAAAAGATAATGTTCCATTTCATGCTATTGTATTTCCTGCATGTCTGTTAGCAGCTGATGCTGGTTATACTCTTGTAAAACATCTTCTTTCTACTGGTAAAACTCATTATTATTCCATTTTTAATCATCTAAGCATATACATTATATTATATATGCATTAAACACAACATCTGTTTTTGATTGATATTTATCTGATCCCGACTAAACTCTTTAGTGGCTTTTAAGTACACAACCAGTGTTCTAAAATTGTCATAATTTTGAGTTGAATTTCACCTATGCTGGCTAAGGCGTATTTGTGACATGATAGTTATGTCTGATGACTATTTTCTCTTTCCCTGATTGATGTATTCTAATATTCATCTTACCAAGATAATTCCTGTGTATCTCAAAAAGAAAGACAAATATCTGTATGTCATTCTCGTTGCCTTAATAAAAGCTTTAAATGTGATTTGTAAAGAGATTCGGAATGGAATTGTTTATCAGTTAAAACGTAGTTTTCTAGCACAAATGTTCATGAGATCAAGTTGCTACAATTCACACATCCACACAGTAAAATGAAATTAATATGTGAGATAGTCAGTCAGCTACAACGTAGGACCAGGCACACATATGCATCGGTCCAAGTTGCCATACCACGTTATCACAACACCAGATTTATAGAAATAGTTAATTTAGTGGTGGTGCTGCTACCTTGACGTGGTGGTCGGGCTTGCCTATCGTGATGAACCAATCGAGCTATACTGGCTGGAACAATCGTTCCTCAAGGTCCTACCATGCCAGGCAGGTCGGTTGAAGAGCGGTAAGACTAAAAGCAGCAAACCCAAGGTCCGAAGGTTAAGTCGTATTGCTGACTGTACAGAGGTGTGACAGCAGTAAAGTGTTTCCTTCAGACAACCAGCATAACAGCGATGCTGCCTTTCCACAAGGAGGGGTGGGGTTAGAAAAAACTCCTTCTGAGAATATAAGACATAAGTAAAGGGGAATGTAGTAATAATGATAACAATAATAATATTAAGGCCATGGTAACAGCTTGATAATAAATTCGTTGAAAAGAGATCCTTTCACTGAACTTCATGTTTTTAATTACTAGTTTTCTCACATAATAGTAAAACTCGAAATCAACTACGTAAACCTATACTTCTTGATAATGTGAATTATATTAAAACTAATTAAATTGGACATTAAATAGGAATAATATATTTGTAAAATCATTTCACATCACAAATCTCTTACACACTAATACATATACCTAGTCTAGACATTTTAAACGTTGATTGGATGACCTATTCAGTGTACAATGAAACGAAGAACCATGTACCTATTTATATTTAATAATTTTGATGTTTGATTATATTTCCTTGAAAAAGCTTGGATCAGATTGCCAGGTGAAATGTTGGATTTAATTCAAATTCATTCGCTGAGATTTTACAAATATATTATTCCTATTTAATGTCTTACATCAACTCGGCGCTCAAATACTGTGAAACTATTCGCTCTAATTTAGATGAAAGTTCTTATATATACTAATTAAATTGGGTTACATTAATAATGACCGTTTTATTGACAAATAATTCATCATAACTTATTGTACTACTATTTTTTCCTTGTTTTTTTTAACTTTAAATATTTCACTCAGAGTATATGAACTATGAAAATACCAAATTTTCAAAAAGTCGTGGAATTGGTGTATTTGGTGATGATGCAATGAAATCAGGTGTTATATCAGATGTTTGGCGATTTTATTTACTGTATCGGAGACCTGAATCACAAGTTAGTTATATTTTATATATTTTTATTCGTTGAATTAGTGGGTTTGTGAAAATAGTCCAACTTGAGAATAATCTTTATCCAAGGTCAATTATTAAATATATTGAAAGATCTGAATAAACAAATAGGTTACGCGAGAATCTTCGGGATTCGAAATAAAAGAATTTATCCATAATGTGGTTCTAAATTTTAGATGTGCATGTAGAGTTTATACGAATTAATATGTGTAATATAAAGAATAATACTTCTGTTATCTAAGTAAAAGCTTTTATCTGTAACAAAATCTACAATTACTGTCAACAGTCGAAACAGTAACGAAGAATAAAAAAATTGGAAACTTGTATACTTAAACAAAGGTTCAAAAGTTTTGTTACTATTGTTGGGATGATCCTGCAAATTTCTCGCAATCGACATGACAAGCTCATGAAACATTAAGGAGCATTTCATCCAATCGACGTTTGATTAGAAGTTATGTTAGTAGCATGGCGAAAATGAAAAGTCACATGTAGAGATTCTGATTGGCTGATTAATGCACTGCTACTATGTTTAGCAGTATTCTAGAATTTTCAGTAAAACCCAAGGACTTTTAAAATATTATAAAAACCCTATATTTTCCGTACATAAACGAACCCTGGAGTAAAGTGCTTCCCACATATTTTGTGCCTTTTCTCTCGTCTTCAAGTCGCTGTATAGTTCTAGCTCGGGGGTTACGAAACTAGCTTAGGATCCGAATATAGCGTTCAACCAACAAGACGTATCAACTATGTGATGATAAATAAATAGAATATGACGAGTTCATGTATACGGTCAGTATTAAAACTCAACAACCAAACTAAAATTTAGTTCCGGAATTTTAACAAGGGGTATAATGTAACATACAAAAATAATCCACCAGCAAAGAAATGAAGATGAGAGATATAAAGATTTAACATTAATATTAACTAAGCGAAATAGTTACCTAGTGCTTCCTGACCTTTTTTGCGGTTCTCTTTAGTTAAGGCCAGTGCTTGATGAAAATGTCGCTCTAACTTTACTAACTAATATCGTCTTTCTACATTTTGGATAAAAATGCACAAGCCCAATTGCATAATGATCGTAACATTTTTCTGTCGTTCTGAAGAGCATGAAATTCTGTGTAAATGACCACACTATTGGTAACCACATAGTTAAATATCTGGTTTTCGATTCTATCACGCTTGTTCACATGGCAAAACCAAGCGTGTAAATGTTCTGGGTATTGTGGATCAGAAATAGTAAACTATCACGCTCGCAGTACAAATCAATAAATACTTACTTCCCTTTCGTTACTTATTGTTTGTTTATTAATTTAATTATATCTTAAAAATTTTAGTACAATAGGGCACCAAAAATGCACATTATAAATGAAGTATTAATAGATGAGTGGAGAGCAGCAAAATTTATGAATAGGTAAACCAGAATATTATTTGGAAAAATAGCTAGTTTAGTTGAAAAAAGAGCCAGTAAAAACTCTTTTCAGTCAAGAGGGGTAGTCTCAATTTTGTAAAGAATTGAATAGAAAATTGCGCCATGATCGCTATTGGCTTGTATTCTGAGTCATATTTGATAACGTTTCTAGCCACCGACTGAGTTGTTCAATCTCTAGAACCGTAACCAAATAGTCATGATGAACCGATCCATCCCAATGGCATATAGCTTTCTTACTATAACCTATTGTCATAAACTAATCACTACTCATTCTCCACATAGTCCCAGCGTCGACAAATAATGTTCATTATAGATACTGTTGAGATATGACATTCGAAAAGCATATCCAAGCTACTAAAGCTAGTGTTCTCAAATAATACTACGAATCATATTATCGTCACCGTGTTTCCAAACATTTATTGTCAAGCTCTCGTATTAATAAAATTTTTTTTTCTATAAAAGTCAAAATAATTTTTGTATTTATAAAAACTTTCGTCTAAATTAGAGCGAATAGTTTCACAGTATTTGAGCGCCGAGTTGATGTAAGACATTAAATAGAAATAATATATTTGTAGAATCTCGGCGAATTGAATTTGAAATAAATCCAACGTTTCTCCTGGCAATCTGATCCAAGCTTTTTCAAGGAAATTTTCGTATTTATTTATATTATTCCTTATCTCAGTATGAGCGTACGTTTAAGGATTCCGGTTAACCTTTATTAGCAACCTAATTTACCAAACATTCTGACGTTTTTGCTTAAAACTTTAAGTATATGAGTTTCTGGCTTTCATTTTGAAGTGACCATTTTGCAGTGGTACTGATTCACTAAAAATTGTTATAGTAAGTAATATAAAAATATATAATTACTGTAAAGATAGAAAGACATTAAGGACAATAACTTGTCTAATGTATCACAGTTGTTATTATAGTTTTTTGATAAAAAAACACGAGCTATTTGTTAAATCGTCCCCAAATGCCTTGGTACGACCGAGAGTGGGGAGAGTCCTCTGCACATGCTCTTACATGGCCACGCGTATATAGCCTCTGCCAGCGAAGTTCTACTCACTGCCTTCTCGTGGTGGCGAGGTTATTTACGAAATTGAGAGGACGAAAAGCGAATGTTCGGCGCCTTAACCGGGTTGGCGGACACGGAGGGTCCACCTAGGGGAGTTGGAGAACCCTGATTCTAAATCATAGGTGCACATTGGCTCCAGTATTCTCAGGGAACAAATGGCGTATGAATCAATCGTTGGTCACCGACTACCATGGGACTGCATCTCCTGACGTTGCTCGACTGCCTTGTGGATCAGACCTTTAGGTCAAAGGCTCCGGGTGTGGCCCCTAAGAAAACCACCTGTTTCAGTTTGGGCACCTGTGCAGTATCACAGCCCTGACACAAATCAAATGAGATTTATGTGTCGCATATATATCTGGTGCTTCCTTGTAACAATATTTATGGTTTTAAATAAATAATAAATAAAATTTGTTAAACCATGACGATTTACTATAATAGTTTAGAATAATTCAAATCTCGTGGAATTCTAACAGATTATTAATTTTATTTTGTATCAGTCAATCAGCTACAACGTAGGACCAGACACATATATGCATCGGTCCAAGATGCCATACCTCGTTAGCACAACAAAATGAACACAGAATTCATAAAAGTGTAGTGAACAAAACACTGGTTGGGGACAATCGAATGTATTTAAGCAAAGATTACAGACTATCTCAATAAATTCTGATTACCAAACAATGAACAGTCAATTTGCAAATTAACAACCAATTGTTTCAATCTTCACTGTTTCTTCTCTAATTCCATTGCTCATGCATTTTCCAGACGATTGCGCTTCATTCCAGTTCTTTCGTCATCGGTCTTCTGCCAAAATACATTCTATGTCTGACCCACACCATATACTACTTATATGGATATAAGTAGACCACACCACACTCGTCCCCCCTTTAAAGCATTCGTTCATGCGGTGGTTCTGCTCGCCACGCCACTATCTTCTTTCACTGCAGTCTGTGCCAAACTCTCCGTCAGAATGTCGAGTCTGCGGCGCGCTGACCTCCATAGCTCCGTCGACCTGCCGAGGCACCAACATCCGCATCCACCCGGCACCTGGGACGTTCAACACCCGTACTCCACCGGCCTGCTGAGCCATCTACATCCGATGTCCGCCCAGCAGCCGCACGTCCCACTGCTCCTCTCCGTCGACAGCACCCGCTACAGCCAACGCCGCCCCGCCAGAACACTCCACTCGACGCCAACTCTCCGCACCGGACTGCCCCAACTAACACTTCAACTCCAGACCCACAGCTGCGTCCGCAGAACAGCACCCTTCCTCCTCCCGGTTGGCAGCGACACCAAATGTTGTGAACAGAACACTAGTTGGGGACAATCGAATGTATTTAAGCAAAGATTACAGACTATCTCAATAAATTCTGATTACCAAACAATGAACAGTCAATTTGCAAATTAACAACCAATTGTTTCAATCTTCACTGTTTCTTCTCTAATTCCATTGCTCATGCATTTTCCAGACGATTGCGCTTCATTCCAGTTCTTTCGTCATCGGTCTTCTGCCAAAATACATTCTATGTCTGACCCACACCATATACTACTTATATGGATATAAGTAGACCACACCACAAAAGTAGTTAATTTAGTGGTGTTAATATATAAAAGAAAGGTTGTATATAAGGATATAGTACAGGAAGAAAGACAGGTATAAAGCAATTTTAATCTCAAGGTTTAAGGGAAGATAACGAGTGTATACACCTACGCTATTGTGAATAATTCTGAGCCATGTTACCTAGATTCTCCAACCATTGGTTACGATAGTCACACGGACCCCAACCAAGTAGTCTGCATCTACCAACATGGCTCAGACTAGAAGTTAGTGACTTTGTGTGCTGATGCCATGTTTTGGTTTGGCCGCCCCTAACTCTCTTCCAACCATCCCCTACACTAGTCAGCATTGCACGTCGTGGTAATCAGTGTTCAGGCATACGTAACACGTGGCCCAACCATCTCAGTCGATGAAGATTCATGGCCTCATCAACTGATTTACCATCATCATTCCCTAATACCCTGTGTCTAACCTCATTATTACTTAACCGGTGATCCCAGCAGATGCGAGCAATATTTTTGAGTCATCTGTGGTCAAATACTAGAAGCTTACGAGTATCTTCTACTCTTAATGGCCACGTTTCGCAGCCGTAAAGTAGAACAGAACGAACTGCTGAGCAGTTTACTCGTCCCTTAGACGTATACTTCGTCTTCGCCATGGGTGACGTAAGTTGTTGTATAGCATCAAATAAATAACTCATCTCAACTGGAATGATGATAATATTCATATTACATTATAAATGAAATAAAGCTGTCAAATATTATTCATCTTAATTCATCTTTGTAGTTTTAATGTACCTTATTCTTCAAAAGTATCTAATCTAGCTTATTTTAAGAATTGGCATCGTACTTTATTGGGTATCGTGATGAAATTGTTGTTTGCATTAATTCATATTCAAAAAGTTATCCAGTTTTGTGATTGAATCGTTTGTCAGCTTAGTATTTATTTACTGGACTTAAATCTATGGTAGTTAGTGTATTTTTTTGTTAGGGGCGGCCAAACCAAAATGTGGAATCAGTGCTTGAAGTCACTCACTTCTAGTTTAAGCCATGTTGGTAGATGCAGACTACTTGGTTGGGGTCCGTGTGACTATCGTAACCAATGGTTGGAGAATCTAGGTAACATGGCTCAGAATTAATCACAATGGCGTAGGTGTATACACTCGTTATCTTCCCTTAAACCTTGAGATTAAAATTGATTTATACCTGTCTTTCTTCCTGTACTATATCCTTATATACAACCTTTCTTTTATATATTAACACCACTAAATTAACTACTTTTATGAATTTGGTGTTCATTTTGTTGTGCTAACGAGGTATGGCATCTTGGACCGATGTATGTATGTGCCTGTGCATGTAATCAATTTAAGGCTCTAAAATATTCTAGCATATTTTATCTTTTTGTCTCTGAGTATCATCGTTTTCTCTAATTTTATAAATCATCTCTTTACAGGATAGTGCTTTTATCTGGGATGATTTCATGTTGGTAAATAACTCAGAATTGTTGAATAATTTAGGTAATTTTGTTAATCGGTAAGTTTATTAGCAATTCATTAATTTATTGTTTGAACTTTATCGGGATGTTGGAACTACACGATTAGAGTTTTTAAGTTAATTGTAATTTATTATTAACCATTTTCTATAACAAATCCAGGTTACACATTCCACGTGCTTTATGGAGCTGAAGGATTATCATTAGTGCTCACACACATATACGAAAGCGTAGATCAAAGCTTGAATACTTAATTACTAGACATTCGTAAATATAATATTGGCATCATTTGTTTTAATGATATTTCTACCAAGCGTACTGTGGTGTGGGTTACTTATATCCACATAAGTAGTATTTGGTGATGGTCAGACATAAAATGTATTTTAGCTGAAGATCGATAAGCAAAGATCAGGAATGAAGCGCAATCGGTATGAAAATGCATGAAAAATGAAATCAGAGAAGACGTACTGATATTTGCAGGAGGAACAGTTAAGATTGAGACAATTGCTTGTTATTTTGCAAATTAACTGTTTAATGCATGGTTATCAGAATTTAATGAGATAGTTTGTAATTTGTGCTTAAATACATTCGATTGTCCGTACTCGTGTTCTTAGTCATTACAGTACTACGTACATTATCTGAATCAAGATTTATTTCTCTTAGCACTGAATAATAGAAATAGTTTATTTGTATTTCGATTTGTCCGTCGTAGAATATGTGAAAACTTGTAATATGCTGTGTTACATTTCATTTGACAAATTGTAATCGTCTGCTTATTAGTTTATAATTAAACTTTTATCACTATCTGTTATTTACCTATTGTACATTTTGATGCAGTATTATTGTGTAACATATATATATATATATATATATATATATATATATATATATATATATATATATATATATATATATGGAGTTGGCTTTTTACAGATTCTAACAGTTTTTCGTTGCTGTTCATACATGCCAAGTCGATCTATCTTATATTCGGTATGTAGTTAGCAGTCGAGTTCAGAACGCATGTTCTATCCTACTATAAACTCGTTAGCTGGATTCATTTGTATCATAGTTGTAGTGGCTAACACAATGATTTGAACGTAGTACTTTTCGTCTCAAAAGCTTAGCGCCGTAATCCTCTGTACTACTGAGTCCAGATAGCCACTAACTTGTTCAACGATTATAAAAGTATTAGTAAGTGTTTTTTTAGTTCACCGTTGCTGATATTGATGACAGCAAATGATTAATAGTCATGTGTTGATAGAGTTTAAAAAAATCTGTTTAAGTAGAAATAGATAGTATCCAGCGGTGGAATCCAGGACGCTCTCAAGATGGTTATATGTCATAAGAGATTGATCAATTCCAGTCCTTAACACCTACAGCGAAATCATTCCAACCCTTAGAGACCAATTTATTATGTTTGGACATACCTAGAAGAATGCGTACTAGTACCATATCGATGTACTTTACTCCAAATAACCAAAGAGTATGATTGTTTTATAGTATTGATTTTTTTAATAGTCTGATTAGTATGAATTCTCATGTGGGTAATGGAACCATTTTGAAATAAAATCAATGTTTCCTATCACTTATCACTGAGTAGTTAAGTCGATATGTTTTATTTCCTCTAATTCTGATCTTGCCAGATCTCTTTCTTTTGTGTCACGATTTTTCAATTCGATTATTCCGTCAATAACAAAATTAGAATCGGTTGATACCGAATTCCTGGCCAGAATTAATAAACTCTTCGCTACTTACATACACAATATGGAGTCATGTCATCTTAGAGATGCTATTCGAAATGTATTGACAATTGCTCGTCTTGGTAATGGTTACTTTCAAGCCAATCAACCGTGGGTCGCTGTTAAGAAACCGGAAACAAAGTTGGTTCCTATCTTTCATTAAACTAAATTATTTTGATATTACCCTCCCTTGTAGTGTAATTTTTATTTAGTTATTTGAGAGGAATTAGCTTTTTACCAGTAATTAAACAATTTGGAATCTAAGATGTTTATATCTTTACTGAACTAAGTACTTCATATTTACTTTAGTATTAACATGTTGACTAGTTGTGATATTAAAAGTAAAAAAGATTTTCTCCGATATTCTGAAAGTTTTCACAAGGAAATCCCTATCATATACATACCTGCTAGTCTACTTAACGTATTCCACCATGGTTTTATCATTCAAAGCCTTAAGTTAACAACAGTCAAAACCACTTGTATGACCAACGATTTTCTGTACATTTCCAAAATCTCATCTCTTTGTTACCTTAAACTTGTTTGTATTATTGTTAGCTTGGAACTCACGTTAAAATTATTAATTGTAAAATGGTATGTTTATTCATTAAAATAAATGCAAGCGAATCTATGATATAGTATCTGTATATTTTTATTGCATATTACTCTAGTGACATTTATATTTGCCAGTAAACCGATTACTACTTGTTTAATTCAGCAATATACCTAGGAAACTCACTCATAATGTAATCAATAGTCAGCCAGTCACAATATAGAACTTCGTACGTACGTACTTCAGTTCGAGCTGCCATACCACATTAGCATAGAGATGCAGTTGTCGTTTCAAATCCCATAGTGGTAGGGATAGTAAGAGTATAAGCATCAATGTGAATGATTAGGGTTTGAAGATGTTATTGAAGGAATGTAATCCAGTGAAATAAATTTGGAAAGAGAAAAAGATAGAGACATGAAGAATTCAGAAGATTAGAATTTGGGAGAACACAAAGAGTAGATGCACCTTCGCCATTGCAAACGATTTTGAGCCATGTCATTCAAGGTCTCTAATCATCGATTGCGATCACCTCGCGAATCCCAACCAGGTAGTCTACACCTACCAGCATAGTTCAGTCCAATTGTCAGTGACTTCATGGATTTGTGCCACGTTTTCATCTGGCCGCCCCTAGCTTTCTTCCAACTTAATGTACTCAATAACAGGACGGAGAATAGTGTCCATATTGTTTTTATGCTGTATGTCTTCTTTTACATATGTAGTAGTACGTTAGATTTTAAAAAAAAATCTAGACTATGTCAATGAGTTTTCCTTTTCAATAGTCATAAAGTATTTATTGTGTATATTATCATCAAAAATTCCAACCTTAAAGAAATTCCCGGTCATTTGATTTATTGGTAAGTGTTTTCGCATTATCCATCTCTCAATGTTGCTATATTCTATTGGTTTTCCTATGATATATTTCAATTAGATATGTCAATCGGTGGTGTATTGACATTCCATTTTTAACTTTAACATCACGGCGGCCTGTTTAAACATCTGGGCTACCTGTTCCTGTCATCTAGATATTTCAGCAAGTTATCTAATTTTGTTTGTTTTAATGCATCACTATGGCTATTAATCGCACAACCTATTCAGGTGGGTTTCTGAAAAGTATACAATCTTTCGCTGTAAAGGTTACAAAAGGCCTAATCAGAGATATCGTGGTTGCTGGCAATATGCAGCGAAAAAAATGTTCATTATTCAGATGGCGATTGACTGGACTGCTAACTTCTAACTGGCGATCACTCAATATTTATCGTCAGGATGGACGAAGAAGTAAGAAACGGAAACTTGTTGAAGTACTTTGTGCTGGGAATTCTATATTGTACCAAAAATTTAATATGAAATAAAGCTAATAATAACGATAACAATAAATTCTTAGATGAGATTTGCAAATTTTATCAAGTTCTGAATTTTTTTCTATTCTTGGACAATTTTTCACATACACACGTTAACACTTGAGTAGTTAGTATTCGTCTTATGAACTGTAATAAATATTCAAGTATTTCTATTGTTTGAGATAGTTATTTAAAGGGTTTAGTAGAATCTTTCTAATTATAATCAACGTTTGCCTTTTGTATACATGTTTTTGGATTATTTTCAAATTATGTCACATATGAAAACATTTCAGAGAACGTTCTGGTGTTGTGATAAGCGTTGCTGCTAATATTGCTTGTCTTCTTGGTGCTATGATTTATCCATTCATGCCTACAATTGGGAAACAGATCTGGATTGAACAGTGCGATCTTCCAATATCTCAAATGAGTTTCGTGCAAATTATTAAAAACGAGTTTACAGTGACAAGGTTGTTACCTGATGGTCATCATATTGGAAAGGTTAGTCATATTTGTATACTATATATTTTCAGAATTGTAAAAAGATATAAGTAGTATATGATCAATCGCAAATACCCGTCAGCTAGAGAAAGAGGAAAAGATGTAGGAGTAAGATTGAACTGAATGAGAAAAGGCGAAATATACAATTCAGAATTAGGATTGGAATGTGTAGTGTTATAAAACCTCAGATTTATAAGATAAATATTAGGTAAATGTATATGGGTTCAACAGATTTTACATCGTAGCAACATTTTTCAGCTATATTACTAGCTATATATTTGGTTTGCGTTGGCGGAAATCGAGATTTTGTCAATCATCAGATGCCTATCTATCTTGTCTGACTGCATTTCTAAGACAACTGATATTCATTTCTTTATACTGATACATGACGTATTTTTGATGTATCTGATTATTTATTTTGAATTTTTAAATTACTAAGGGAAATTGAACTGAAAAAAAAGTTACTTTTCTTCTCGTTTTCTAGCCAATCCCTCTTTTCCGAAAAATAGATACTGATGAAATTAAACGTTTATCTCAAGTTTACAGTGGTTCATCTGATGCGTCTGTGACTAATGGAAACAATACAAAGTAAAAAAAAATCACTAATGTATGTGTGACTTTCCTGAAAAATCATTTCTTATAAAAATTCATTTATCCAAAGTACTTATTCCAACTGTTGCTTCCCCACTATGTACTTTATGGAATATATATATCTTTTAAAGTGTTACTTTCTATATCCTACTACTTTTTGGCTATTAAATTAAATTGTGATCCTAGTTTTATAGATAACTCAATTTAAAATTTGATTTACGTTACTGTAAGATTCGGCATTTCGCACAGACAAAATGATCTAACAGTTTAAATATAAGTTGTGTAGGAACCAGTGTATAAAACTAGTGGAAACAAAAGACTGAACCATTCGGGTTCATACATGAATATGATAAAGTATAGACGTCTCGGTGGTTAAATTTTGTAATCTGCAATAGATTGTATTTGTGTATAAATTGTGGTGTTTGTAAGAAATGGTAATTCTTTTGTTATTCTTTTCGAAGTTTTATCAGGATTGCAGTACATCACTTTTACATGTGTAAATATCAATTTGGAAAATAACTGTATATTCAACTCCGTGGCCGTTCAACTGGTAGAATAAATACATGGAATCTCAGATGAAAGCTTGAGCAATATCTAATTGATCATTTCCGAAGAGTTAGAGTTGGTTGCATTAATTAAGGGGTACGGAATGAGCTTGACTTGTAATCAGTGAAAACTTATGATACATTTTCTAGTTTTCGTAATTAGCTTTAATCTCAAGGTGGTAAAAATCTGCCTCAAACTGATAATGAAACTCTTCTAAAACGACAATATTCATCTAATGCTTCGTTTCATTGTTGACACAGGTATCAGATACATCATTTCGGTTCACTATTACTTACTTACTTACTTACTTTCGCCTGTTACTCCCAATGGAGCATAGGCCGCCGACCAGCTTTCTCCAACCCACTCTGTCCTGGGCCTTCTTTTCTAGTTCTTTCCAGTTCTTGTTCATTCTTCTCATGTCTGTCTCTATTTCTCGGCGTAATGTGTTCTTTGGTCTTCCTCTTCTCCTTCGACCTTTAGGATTCCATGTGAGGGTTTGTCTTGTGACACAATTGGGTGATTTCCTCAAAGTGTGCCCAATCCACTTCCAGCGCTTCTTCCTGATTTCTTCCTCCGCTGGAATCTGGTTTGTTGTCTCCCACAGTAACTTGTTGCTGATAGTGTCTGGCCATCGGATCCGAAGTATCTTGCGTAGACAGCTGTTAATAAACACTTGTATCTTCTGGATAATGGCTTTCGTAGTTCTCCACGTCTCTGCCCCATACAGAAGAACTGTCTTGACATTTGTATTGAAAATTCTAACCTTGGTGTTGGTTGACAATTGTTTTGAGCTCCAGATGTTTTTCAGCTGTAGGTATACTGCTCTTGCTTTGCCGATCCGCGCCCTCACATCTGCATCTGATCCACCGTGTTCATCAATGATGCTGCCCAGATATGTAAAGATTTCCACATCCTCCAAAGCTTCTCCGTCAAGTGTAATTGAATTGGTGCATATTGTATTGTATTGGAGAGTCTTGCTTTTCCCTTTGTTTATATTGAGACCTACTGCTGCTGAGGCTGCTGCTACACTGGTCGTTTTCTCCTGCATTTGTTGTTGCGTTTGTGATAGAAGAGCCAGATCATCCGCGAAGTCCAGATCGTCAAGTTGCATCCTGCCTGTCCACTGTATCCCGTGCATTCCTCCAGATGTTGACGTCTTCATGATCCAGTCGATCACCAGGAGAAAGAGAAAGGGTGAGAGTAGGCAACCTTGCCTAACACCGGTCTTTACCTCGAACGAGTCGGTGAGTTGTCCTCCGTGGACGATTTGGCAGTTTAGTCCATCATAGGAGTTCCGTATGATGTTGACTATCTTCTCAGGCACGCCGTAGTGTCGAAGAAGCTTCCATAGTATCGTCCTGTCCACGCTATCAAATGCCTTCTCGTAGTCGATGAAGTTGATGTACAGTGATGAATTCCATTCGATTGATCGTTCCACAATGATACGTAGAGTTGCGATTTGATCTGTGCACGATCTATCCTTACGAAATCCAGCTTGTTGATCTCGAAGTTGAGCGTCCACGGAATCCTTCATCCTGTTTAACAATACTCTGTTGAAGACTTTTCCTGGTATTGAGAGGAGAGTGATGCCCCTGTAGTTGTCGCACTTGCTCAGATCGCCTTTCTTTGGTATCTTGATGAGAAGTCCTTCTTTCCAGTCTGTTGGTACATGTTCTTCGTCCCAAATCTTACCGAAGAGGATGTGGAGTATCTTGGCAGTTGCTGTTACATTTGCTTTCAGTGCCTCTGCCGGGATGTTGTCTGGTCCCGCTGCTTTGCCACTCTTGATTTGTCTAATGGCCATGCTGATCTCTTCAATTGTTGGTGGGCCAATATCGATTGGGAGGTCTGTGGGTGCTGCTTCGATGTTGGGTGGGTTCAGTGGAGCTGGTCGATTCAAGAGTTCCTTGAAGTGTTCTACCCACCTGTTTCGTTGTTCTTCAATATCGTTGATTACTTTGCCTTCCTTGTTTTTCACTGGTCTTTCTGGTTGACGGTAATTTCCAGCAAGTTTCTTTGTTGTATCATACAGTTGTCTCATGTTTCCCTCTCTTGCAGCCTTTTCCGCTGTCATCGCTAAATCAGCCTAAAGTCAGCCTATCGTAGAATTGGTTTTTAGCGTCTTCATCGTAGTCGTTGGTCGGCGCATAGCATTGGATGATGTTCATTGTAATGCCCTCTCTCTTTGTTTTGAAGGAGGCTTTGATGATCCTCGGTCCATGAGATTCCCATCCTATAAGTGCATTTTGTGCTTTTCTAGACAGCATCAGTGCCACTCCTTGTGTATGTGGGGCATTTCCTTCTTCATGACCGGAGTATAACAGAAGTTCCCCTGAAGACAGTCGTTGTTGTCCAACCTGCGTCCAATGTGTTTCACTGATTCCAAGCACTTCCAGGTTGTATTTCCTCATTTCCGCAGAAATTTGGAAGACTCTGCCGGTCTCCCACATTGTCCGGACATTCCATGTACCTATAAAAATTGTCGCTCTGGTTGTAAGAAGGTGCATCGGCCTCATGACTTCCGAATGAACTCGGCTTTCATCATGAGACGTCATTTTTCCTTCTACTCCCAGGGCAGAGTTTGAATGGTTTGAATGATTTTTTCTGGTTAGCGTTTTTTTAGCGAGTTGATTTTCTACGGGATGGGGTCGCTAACCCCATGCCCAACCCTCCTCCTTTACCCGGGCTTGGGACCGGCAGTAGCCCCTGGAGGAGCTACAGGCGGAGTTCGGTTCACTATTGAGTCCATCATAATTTTCAGTTGTAGAATTACCATACATAAGCTTCGTCTCTGTGGATATTGTGGTTCGTACCTCAAAGACAGTAACCCTTCACCTATAAATCATCGGTTTCTTGTCAGTAAGAGTTTACTGCCCACACGAGTTCAGTAAACAATTGAGACTACTGCTGTAGAATTAAATGTTTTAATTCATGTTGGATCCTTTTATAGTAATACAATATCCCATTTTTTAAATTCGACTTCTTGATTGGGTCCTGATCAATTAACAGCGATTCATAGGACTATTATAGCGAGAGAATTCGGGAATGAACCAAACGCAACTCATTGACTACGGATTATAATGCTGAATAATTACTTAAGAACTTGAGCCAATTTCAAATTAACTGCTTCATCAAATTCTGCATAGTAAATTATCAAAACGGGAAGAAGAAACACCACAACACTAGGAAAGGTTGAGGATAAAACTAAACGGGCAAGTCTTTAGGACCAGATTGAGGTTGTTTCTGTCAGAGTTTGACTTAATTTTACCAAGAAGTAACACAGTAGTGTCAATTAGTAATTCACGTTAGTCTCTAGAAAGTCAGTAGGGACAAAGGGAAACGAAACTGAAACAATTACTGACCAGATAATCACAAGTGATAGAAAAACGATCAACGGAGTAATTCTAGACCACACTATGTCGAATATGTCGTGAAGACCGATCTCCTTAAACTAAAAGAGTCTTCGTGTTAGCACCGAAAAACTAGGTTTAAAATGAACCCAGGTCATTTACATACAATTTTCTCCTAGAAGCAAAAAATAGCACCCATAAAATTTACTGGATAAAAAACAGATGGGACTCAGAAGGTGTATATTCACAATGTCTTCTAAAGGTAACTTATGGTTTCGATCAGAGGCATACTTTACTTTTAAATAATTCCACATGGATATGTAATCGGTCATAATTCGTCCTAAACTATAGGCTCCCTCTAAAAGGAGCATTAGCTTTGTAGTCAATGTCACGAAAATTGGTTGCCCACTCCGCCTGCTGCCCTTCTGGGGTTACTGCTAATCCCAACCCGAGTAAGGGGGGGGTAAAGCTTCCTGTAGAAAACAATCTTGTCAAATATAGCTTACAAGTGAGAACACTTTAATTTATGTACAGTTCATCCTGCTAGTAGAAGGATCTTCATTTTGTATGAAGGATGGGAATCTCATGAATACAGCATCATCGAAGCATTCGGCTAGACAACGAAGGAAACGATCACAATGTTATCCAATTCAATGCAACCATATGACACAACAACAAAACTAGCAGGGAAATGCAGAGAGACCAGTCAAGGATAAAGAAAGCAAACAAATCACTGAAATTCAAGGACAGAGGAACAGATGGGTGCAACACTTCGAGGAACTCTTGAATAGACCAGCTCCATTGAATCCACCGGACATTGAAGCAGCACCTACAGACTTTCTTATAGTTGTCACTCCGTCAACGATTGAGGGAGTCAACATAGCTATTAGACAAATTAAGGGTGGGAAAGTAGCAGGACCTTACAATATACCAGTCGAAGCACTGAAGTCAGACATAGGAGTAATTGCGAACATGCCCCACCTTCTATTCAAGAAGATTTGTAAAGACAATTGCCAACAGTTAGGAAAGAAAAATATCTTATCAAGATGCCTGTAAGGACGGCCTCCGGAGAACTCAAGGAAGTTTTAAGAAGTTCTGAAGGAGCAGAAGACATTCCATTCATTCATCTTTGGAAAGAACATTCCAAAATCTAGATGTGTAGCTTCCCGATCGGACGGATCATAAGAACCACTCCATGAAAGTTGGATGACTGTAATAATGAGTTCATTTTTACTAAAAACTATATATATCTGAGTGCTTAGTACCATATTCGACACTGTTTGGAATAAGATTCTTTCATACTCGTCTTCTAACTTGGGACTTGGAGGGTTCTGGCGTCCAAGTGCTCAAGTTGTACGTGGTATGTGAAGAAGTACTAGTTCCAGATATAACACTATCAAAGAAAGGAGACCTGAGCAAGTATAAGAACTACAGAGGCATCACACTACTATCAGTACTAGGAAAAAAACGTTTCAACAGTGTTGCTGATCCGAGTTATAGATTCAGTAGACGCTAAACATCAAGATCAACAGACCGGATTCAGTAAAGAATAGTTGTGTACTGATCAAGTCGCGACGTTATGGATCATTGTTGAGCATTTAATTGAATGGTACTCGTCACTATACATCAACTTCGTTGATTATGAGAAAACATTTGACGGTGTGGATAGGAGGACTTTATGGGAATTTCTTTGACACAATGTTGTACTTGAAAAATCGTCATAATCATATGGAATTCATGCGATGGACTACAATACAAATTGATGCATGAAGGACAACTGAAAGGTGCATTTAAGGTGAATACCGGCTTTCACGAAAAGTATATTTCATCCCATCTTTTTTCTCTCTTCTGATGACTGACGGGATTAGAAAGATCTGCACATGTGAAGGGAAACACAGAATACAGTGGACAGTTTTCTGGGTGATGTACCACTTTTTTATGCTCCTTAGCATGTACATAGTTCCACTTAGACCAGCTATATCTATATTTCATATGAATCACTCCTAAAACCGATTTTCGTGTAAGATATGTTTAATAGCTTCAAATTACAACATGCTATTATGAGAAAGAACTTTTTGCTTTCAGGAGAGCCATGCTAAATTCATCATTGGTTCGACACTTTCTAGTTCCGATTATCATTACAACACATTCATGAATGTCACCAGGACAACTACAGCAACCGCCTATGAAAATTCCCTTATACTCAACTTGTTCCTAACCGTAGTCCCGTAAGTCATGTCCCGAATTTAATATTGTTTCTGCCAAGTTTTTATACTACTATTTCTCATAAACACACACTTTAACCTGGTTTATACAAGTGTTGCATCTTATCGCCTTGATGCCATTTGAATTTAGCAATTATTTGAACCGCCTTTAACATTCCCACTGAACCCACTATAGTCGTGATTGCTAAGCCCATTTGGGTTTATAAATTGAACTATCATATTAGCTGTCTAAAAAGACGTTTAACATAGTTAATATAATGAAGTCACCGCAATGAGATATCATCATACTGCACTGGTAGAATAACTAAACCATCACGTAATTGTTAGCCAAGCAAGCGTTCAAAATGAAAACTTTGGAGCTTACTAGCAAAGCTAACACTAAGTGAACAAACAATTTTAGAGCGCAATTTGTAATACAATCAGGCGGCTCGAATCCATTAGTGGTGCAAAATTCTGATATTTTCGAATCACCTAAAACAAGAACGCCTATTTCCCACTAGCTAATCTCAAATCAATGCTGTAACTAGTTATTCATAATGGTTTCCGAATGTCGTCATAAAGCATTTTCATGACTTGACAGCCAGGTAATAAAATTGATGAAACCATTCGCACAAGCCCGTCCGGAGAAATAGATCTATAATTATCATTAAATATTGCTGTTTGCCCGTGGTTATCTTTGTTTATTATAGATGATTTCGGTGTGTTTCTCTAGCAGTTGCTCAGTTAGTGAACATTTGAAAACCTTATCAGTCTAAGTGGAGGTTTAGTGACATAATCATTCTTACAGTTCACCAGTATACGCAGTTGAATTCAATCTCCTGTAAACTGAAAACATCACTGTCGAACTCACCCCAACACTCACAAAGGTTCATGCCATTATTATAGACATGAGTTGGGAGTTGTACTCCCCTTGACTACAACATATGCTCTTCCTGATAATCACATGAGCAGCACTCAATGTATGTAATCTTGATTAGGCCGAGAGCATCGTACAATACTATGTCACATACGTTTGTGGCACATATGCTTTGGCGATTTCGACAACATATAATCACTCTAATTCAGATAAGCCGATTTCTACCTTATGCCAAACTATATTCTCGCAACTAACTTGTATGCACCATCAGCTGGTAAATATGAATATAAATTATTGGTTTGTTGCTCGTGGGGTTTCCCACGGATCCACTCAATTTAAACGGATTACTGTTAGCTATCTGCCCGAAATCCACATATTTATCACTATTTCCACGTATTAAAAGTATTTTTGACAACAATTTATGTGTATCAGTAGTGTTATCCACTTCTATTACGATTAAACAATAAAAAAGTCAAGAAAATCACCCTGCAACTAAATAACCTTTATTAAATTTAACGAACTAACTGAAACACTAGTTGGAACTCTCCTCGTTCATACTATGAGTACTTCAGTTGGTCTACTAATACGATTGCAACTAGAAGTCAACTCATACAGATAGCATGCCAGCATAAACATTAACTGGCTTTCTAAATTAAATCAAAGATAATACCAATATCAACATTTATAAAATATTGGTTGTTTTTTCTATTATTAAGCACAAAATGCTTATAATGCTCACAAGTAAAGATATTAACCAACGATCGTTACTATATGTTTTAATGTGACTATTGAAAATATCTCTATACTAAGCCATTCTTCACTATCATAATCCCACTTCGTTTAATTTTTAACTGAAATTCACGTGGATTTTCATTTTCAGTGTGTAGTGACCTACTTTTGTGATGAGAACGCGGTTGGTATAATTGTTTCACTGTGTTTGTTTGTTCAAGTGCACCAAACACACACTTTCTTCCGTTGCCTGTGATCTAGCACGCTTGGTAGTTCCACTTGTAAACTTTAGCACGATCCCGGTATTTTTTCGATACCACGAGATCACCGACCAGTATATCTTGTTTCAACCGTCATCTGCCTTCTGGTTTTTGGCTAACGGAGGGGTCGAACTCGATATCTGGCAGTTAATGTTCCTGAAGTGGTGACCATAGTCAATCGCGACTCCACTCCATCTACAAGTATGTTCAGAATTGAACCAAACATTTTGGGATTGCTACACGTATTTACCGATCACTAGCTTCCCCTTTCTTTTTGATTTATCTTCTGGTTTATCATTACTCGAAGGATTTTGATTGTTCTTTTGGTAACCTTTGGCCCAAGATAATCAAACCCGGTCTAGTATCAAACCAATATCATGTTGGTTCTGGTTGGAGAGTAGTGTAGTGTTATTGGTTTTAACCACATGATACTCGAGACTGAACATAAGATGAATGAGAAAATTGATATTCATCATTTAAAATGGGGAAAAAAATCAGTGATGATGGACGCGGCGACAACTAATCAAAATCGCATGACTTTGTCATGCAGGCATTATCACATAATCTCCAGCCTATTGGATCAAATATACTATTCTCTTACCACCCCACATGTGTTCGTCAAAAGTTCTAGATATTATATTGCTGATTGTAACGATAGGACGAGTCAGTGTGGACAATGATGTCACTTACATGTAAGATCTAAATGATCAGGTAATCACATCATGACATATCTACGGATTTACTATTAGATGTATTATTATAGTGGTGCTGATACGGAAGTAGACCAAATTTCTACATATGCACCTAGACGATTTGTAATTCTCAAATGGTCTAACTCTTCAATCTCACACAAACCAAAAAATTAGGTGAAGAGTAGAGGATACTCGTAGGTTACTGGTATTCGATCACAGGTGTTTTCGAAGCATTGCTTGTGTATTTTGGGACCACGGACTAAACATGCCTATGTTAGGAGTATAGTACTAGGTAAGGAGGGAAAATTGATTGATGAGGCATTCAACCTCCCACAGCTGAGGTGGTTGGGATATGTGTTACATATGACCAGCCATCGCATACTTCAACGGACTATAATGTCTGGTGTATGAGAAGGGAGGGTCAAGCCAGGAGATGACATCAGTCTGCGAAGCCATTGCCAACTGGAATGAGTTGTTGCAATGGGCAGGCCTCAACACACATAAGGGTAAAAGCAAGATCCTGAAATGCGACAGAGATCACCAATCAGGCCACACTTGATGGAGAAGCTCTGAACGAGGTGAAAACGTTCACGCATCCGGACAGCATCATTTATAAATAAGGAAGATCTGATGCATATGTGAAGGCACGAATTGGCAAAACAAAAGCAGCATTCATAAAATTGAAGGACAAGTGTAATTGTTATATCTAGGGCTTTGACTCTTGCTATGCCACGTACTACTAGACTACTTGAACAATCGAACCAGCAACGTCGCAAGAGAGAAGACAGAAAACTAGTAAGTAGGAATTTTATTCCCCAAAACAGTGTCAAATATAGTAAAAAATCTCATGTATTTATAGTTTGTGGCTGAAAATAAATCATCATTTCGGACAGCCAATAGGCACATAGGGCGTCATTCTTATTCATCCAATAGGGAAGCTACATGTCGACATTCTAGAATGTTGCCCCATTGGTGATTGGATGGAATGTCTTCGGCTCTTTCTGGGCTTCTTGAGGCTTCCTGGATTTTGCCAACGAGCCATCCTCATAGTAACTAAAAACAGCTGTCATCCAACATCAAAATAAGGATCTTCAGTACAAATGTCAAGACAGTTCTATTATGTGGAGCTGAAAGTTGGTGAACCTCTATAAACCTGATCGAAAAGGTACAGGCATTTGTGAACAGCTGTCTATATAAAATAGTGCATGTCCATTGGCAGAATACTTTCACCAACAACCTACTGCGTGAAAGAACAAGCCAGATTCCAGCTGAAGAGTATTATTAGGAAAAAACGCTAGGGGTGGATAGAGCATAAATTGTGTGAACCATCAAAATGTGTCATGAGGCAATCGCTAACTCGGAATCCTTGAGGGAAAAGTAAGAAAGGCAGACCAAGGAACACATTGCGTTGGTGGTTGGAAGCGGACATCAAAAGAACGAATAGCAAGTGGAGACAGCTAGAAATGATCACTGAGGCCAGGGCCTCACGTAGAATTCCGTTGCGTTGTGCCCGATGCTCCTCCACGAGCGGTGAGTCTTAGGCAAGTAGTAAGATAAAGTGATAACGACTATAAGAGAATTACCAAGCGTGACAGATAAATGCTATTAACAACAAAGGCATGCTAATCCATTGTTTTTGAATAGATCACGTACATATCAATGGAAAAGTAATATTTACTTTTATTATAATACAGGGTGTTTTCAATTCTAGAAGAATGGTTCAATTCACAGTCAAAAATGATCAACACCAGTTAAATCGATCAACACACTCATAAACGAAAGAAATCTGTATGATAGTCGATATAACGAAATATCAACTAAAACAACACGTATGTAGCTCAGAAAAAAAGAAAATTCAGTGAAGGCATAATTAGAACAAGAACCACGATAACGTGCAGATAGTACCATTTCAAATGGAATTAAAAGGTAAATAAAATCTAGATCTTAAAAAGTCAAAAACGATATAACGCAGGTGTGTACGTGGAAGGATTTTCATACCCACGACTTCCGAATAGAATACTACAATTCAAAACAACTAGAAAGGATCCCTCAGGCAAGATCCAGCCAGCAAATCCTGATCAAGAGCCGATGCTTCTTAATGAGGGCTGACAGGCATAAGTAAGTAAGTACTATATTTATCAACCATGATGTCATACCATAGTCAGTGAAATATTACTGAGTCCTAGCTCAATCATTCGTGAAGTCCTTCACCAATTGCCTTCAGTGAGTTGTTATCTCACAACAGAGGTGGTTGAACTCCACTGGTCACTGCTTCCCACTAGAACTCCAGGACATGTATCTTGAAGTCAGTCACTAGTGAGCATATGATTATAATCAGAAGGGGATTTGTGGAGATTTCAGTATATTTCAAAGTTGAAATCATTAGTCAATTGAAACTTTAACATTAACACCGTTGGATGCCGGCTCGGTGGTCTATCGGTTAAGGGCTCTGGCTCGTAACTGGTAGGTCCTGGGTTCGCATCTCGCGAGTGCGGGATCGTGGGTGCGCACTGCTGAGGAGTCCCATAATAGGACGAAACGGCCGTCCAGTGCTCCCAGGTTTTCGATGGTGGTCTAGCTTCAATTAACTCATGATTTCAACTTTGAAATATACTGAAATCTCCACAAATCCCCTTCTGATCATTCGTGAAGTCTTATAGGTGTCCAAACTGGGAGCCTGATCATTCAACATGGAGTCGTTGGTGAAATTTCGCCCTGACCTGGGCTAATCAATGTGGACTGATCAAATGGATGGCATAGACAACCCCTCGTGGGTTGTCACCTTAACTTCCACACTGATGTGGCGTAAATTCTGCATAGCCTTTAGCGAAATGTTAGATACTTGTTGTTCGCCTACGGGTTGGACACATACCTCATCATAAAAACTATCTATAACGGCTAATTAAAATTACTCGGACGAAAAACAGTACCAGGCTACATGGTTTGCAGCACTGTACGACACGATCTAATAATCACTTTAAAATAAATCGAGTCAATACATTTTTAAAGGACACAAACTGTTTGCTTATCAAAATTTACTCAGACTAAGCTTCACAACCTATAGCTTCGTAGGCTTGATGTGAGCCATTACCAAAATCGTCGATGGAACAACCAAGAAAACCATTGTCAACGAAGTCGCAGTGTAATAATTCTGATTTTGTTTGTCCTCAGTCGGAATCGACTCTCTAAAGCACACAAATCCTCCTTCGTTGGATCTGGTTACGTCAATAACTCGGCTTGACGTCACAGTGGAGGAAGGATTTCGAGGGAATATCAGGCACAGGTGCCGGCGTTTCTTCTCATTTTTCGCTTATACCAGGCTACTGCTTCCAATCGTAACTGCAAGCGACTGAACTTCACAATTTAGGTCATTAATAATTTTCATATTCAACAACTTTCCGTCTTTTAGTATCAGAAGTCAGAGGATTATTGACTGCAATTACTAATGACAATTATATTATTCACCAAGGCTCATATATTAATGACAGAACTTGTCTTAACTTCGGTACTTCTGAAAGCTATGGCTAAAGCAGCAATTCGTTGAGCTTGAGTTCATCTACGTTATGGTTTCATTGTCACTTATGGTGTTTCGAAAATCACGAGAACACAAACAATCAGCTGTTACGAAAGTATTAAACACCGATCCATACACATCCCAAAAGAATCACTAACTCAATGAAACAATTTTTCAAGTACCACAAACTTGAAATAAACCGTTCGTTACATCATCACGGCTTTACCTTTGAATTGACACCTAGGTTAAAAGGTTTAGAACCGTATACAATCCAAGATGGAATAATTTGTAGGGAACTCCATGTTTGCGTGATCTCAACTCATACCTAAAAATTACGGTACCATATGTTTCGAAGTGATTTTATTATGCTGTAAATGATCCTGATAAATTATTACGGGACTGGTAAATCCTTCCTTTTCCCCCATTTAGGTTCGTAGTTCGTAAGCCATGAGCAAACAGATAACTTGAAACCCATAGTTTTTTCCAATAAAATTAGTATGGACGAGACTAATGTCTAGAACGTGGGAAAAATATTTGTTTGGGAACTTCTTTACCATCTTCTCCTGGAAGAAATGCGCAAGTTTCAGTTTGCAAAGGACAGGAAGCTCGACGGCCTGTGTTAGTTCTGGCAATGATGGTCTCTCAGTTGATCCAACTTTCTTTTGGAAGAGTCGACGGATGGAACCTCAACCACTTGCTGAAGAAATGAATTCCACTTGTTGATGATTCGATGGGAAAGTTGATAGTCAGTTGACAAGTTATTCGTTCTGGGCTTGTGAACTTTTTGGAATGTCCTCGTAAATTTTCTGTTTTGGAAGACAAGAAAAATGAGGGCATATCAGGTGCAAATTTATCACTAAGCAATTTGAAGGCTGTAATCAAGTCGCCTCTGATTCTTCTATATGACAGCGGGAATAGGTTTAGTTTGGTCAGTCTAGTACCATACGGGAGCTTCGCCATTCCGGGAACTAGCTGAGTTGCTGTTCTCTGAACCCTTTCCAAGAGCTCACTGTCTTTTTTAGGCAGAGGCTAGCTGCTCGTATGCAGTACTCAAGTTTAGGACGAACGAACATTGAATACAAAGTCAGAAACGTTTTAGCGTCGTGATGACTAAAAGCCCCACTTATAGACCATAAAGTTCTAAATCCTTTGGTGGCTATTGCACGCCAGTGTGCAGTAGTTTTTAAGTCTTGATTAACGATGACTCCTAAGTAATTGTGTGTCTGGACAATAGGTAGCTCAATGCTATTCATCGTGTATGCATCTGTAACTTGATGGCTAATATGCATCACAATACACTTGGAAGTATTTATCGGCAACTGTCACGTTTGGGACCATTGAGATAACTTCCCCAGGTCGTTTTGGAGTTCTAAGCTATCACCCTTACTTTGTACCGCTTTCCATATCTTGACATCATCAGCATAGTGCAAGACTGATGACGATAGTAGACGAGGAAGGTCATTTACATACAGGAGAATAACACTGGTCCCAAAACTGTACCTTGGGGGACTCCACTAAGCACAATTTCTCAGCTAGACAACTTGGAGTTCACCCGTACTCCTTGTTGACACCCAACTAGGAAGTCTTTTATCTATATCAATAGATTGCCTCCAATCCCGACATTCCTTAGCTCATGCGGAACTTTGTCAAAAGCCTTGCTGAAGTCGATGTAAGCTACGTCTACAGGTAACTTTTGGTCCTTAAGAGCGCATCAGCTTTCACGAGCGACTAATAAGTTTGTGAGACAAGAATAATCTGTTCTAAAGCCATGCTGCTTCTCCGAGAGGATCCGGTTTTCATCGAGGTACTTAAACAGCTCTTTCCGAATAATGTTTTCTAATATTTTAACAACCACGCTAGTTGGGCTAATGGTTTGGTAATTCTCAGGCTTATGTTTTGTACTGTTTTGAAGACAGGACTATGGCGTTCTTCCAGTCTTTAGGTAGACGACCCTGGGTTACGGATAGACTAAAACATATACTAAAAGGGTTGGCAACAAAGTTAGTTAATCCATTTAGTAACCTAGAATGCAGGTCATAGGGTCCAGTGGATTCGCATATATCCAGCTTATTTAGTAGACCAAAGACGTCGAGTTCTTTAACAGTCACATTGTCCAGTGTTTGTGTGGGGGGATTTTCATGGACTGGCTGGAAGGGTATTTCTATGGTATATACATTGCTAAAGCGGTTTGAGAATGCTTGAGCTTTACCAAAGTCGTACTCCACTAGTGATGAGGCAGTACTGTCTCCCCAGAGTGAAGGGACATTTCCTCTTTTTTCTGTCATTTGGTTTATATACGAATACAAGCGTTTAAGACATTCTATGGATTTCTTAACGGTTTTCTCTTTTCACAGCCTTCTGAATTTATGAAGAGTCGAGGCATAAGTATTCTGAGCTTTTTGATACTGAGATTTGGCCTCATTAGTCCCCAGTAACTTAAATCTATCCCACATTTTCCTCCTTTTACGGAGAAGGATGCGAACCTCCCTACTAAACAACGGTTAGGAGGCTCTCGGCATCCTAGGTGTAGTCTTACGGACGTGGGGGCGGTAACTTTTAAGTATAAATTTCGAAATACGTCCCAAGCCGTTTCGATTGAGGACTCTGGGTCTATTGTCCAGTCTACTGATAATACTGAATGCGTGATGTCTTGTATGTTTGCTTCCCAGATGTTAAGTCTAGATTGAGCTGATGAGTGCTCAACGTCATCCTCATAGTGAATCAATATAAGATCTAGTAAGGATGATGCAGAGCCTGGGTCGTACCTAGTTGCTTCCTTCACGTGTTGCACTAGAGCACATGCGATAACCGCATCAACTAGTTTTTGTTCGAAGGAATTATCTGACGATTCAGTTCGCAGATTTCCGCAGTATACCATGGATGCATTGCAGTCCCCTAGGATTTGACATCAACTACTTCGTGACTAAGTGTTGAGACTGCCTAGTAGGACGTCCATCGTCCCACTCTCATGGGATACACTGTCGATAATGGCGAATGGAATAGCATTCCTAATGAGTAGAGCTACTCCTCCTCCTTTACGCTTTGGTATTCTGTCGGCCCTTACTAATGTAAAACCATTGAGATCAAGTTCCCTACTATCTATAGGCTGTGTCAGTCACGTTTCTGTGACTGCGATTATATCTGGCTTAGTAGCGTTAGTCTGCACACCTAGTTCCGATCGCTTATTGAGCAAGCTCCGAGCATTGGTGTAACAGATCCGAAGCCTATTTAAGTGGCCTCGTGCTTCACCCAGAGTGACTTCTGCATCATCCTCTATCGAAGCCTCACAACCCGAAAATTTACAAATTTTAGGTCTTTTTCGCCAGAGTCTAGTCTGAGCTGTAGTTCTTTTTCGGCTTCCCGTCCTTTTACACGGTCCGCCAGCGGTAAGTTTTACGGAGAAAAACTCCCAAATCCTTAAATTTATGTCCGTTTTGTAAAATTAGGTCGCCTTCATTTGAGGATTTGAATACTACTTTAAGCATCTGGACTGATTAGGAGTCAAATTCGCCAGGCTACCTAGTCTATACACCTTTAGCAAGGTGACTCCGGAAACTTTCGGGGCATAACTTGATTAAGTAGCTGTTTTATCAACACAATGTCATGCTCAAAACGAGCTTTCGGTTCAGAGCTTTCACTCTCCTTGAATCTGTGAAAAATGACTGATCTATCGCTGTGATCAGTCTTCGATTTCTCGACTACTTTGATGAGGACAGGATTCCCTTTCACGTCGTTTTGTCGTTTTTTGCTTACCACCTGTACCCAATCATTGACGTTGTTTGATTTAGTGACCACAGTCACTTCAGGCATACTATGGGATTCCAGATGGTTGTCAACGACTTGGGAGGACGGGTCATGTTTGGCGCTGGAAACTGACCGAGTCTTGCGATTTCGGATTCTGAAAGTTTCCTTCTGGAGACCATTTCGAATACAGGAGAAACTTCTTTTTTCAAATGGTTCAAATGGTTGAGGACGGAATAGAAGAAGCTTTCGCTTAACGGGCTTCCGTGTCTGGTAGCAGTGGATCACAAATACCTCCAGATAAGAACCTAGGTGTATGAACGATAATAGAGGAAAAAAAGAGTTTTTGGTTGGGACAGAACTCTTTGGAGGCTGTCCTTCCTCATTTGGACGATGTGAGTCAGCACTTTTCGAACTCACTTGTGCTTGCCTCACATCGATCTGCCTGTCGACAGATCGAGTTCTGACCGACGTGTCCCAACCGCGTTTGTCGAGACACTTTTTCGCAGTTTTGACCATTGAGATGACCTCGGTTAACAGGCTATTCTTATCCAGACGGCACTGTTGAGAAAAGACATACGCAAACATTCTTACTGAACCTTTTGAAAGACGCAGGCGTTAGATTTGTGCAGACTTCGTGGTACCAGCCATTGCACTCTTCGCACTGCATGTCGCTGTCAACGGGACATCGACAGCCTGGACCCTGGAAATTGCTTTTACTGCACTTTCCAGTCATTTGAGGTCATTTTTTAAGAAAAAAGAACTGTACACAATAATACCCGGAGAAAAAGTGATCTTTGACCAAAAAAGTGGAAAATTGTAAATTGTAAGAACCAGAGTACTAACAGACACAATAGAAAAAACAAAGTACTCTGAAGTACCGATGATAAACTATTTTCGAAGCCGAGGGTCATGTGACTCATTCAGAAGGTCAGATACTTACAAACGCTTGCCTGAAAATAACTAACAGAATCCCTTAGTCTACTGTCCTCTAGACATACTTTTGAACCTAATGTTGTTTATATGTATTTACGTCGAAAAGCGCAACATCTGTACCTTTGTTTACGCGGCGATCCGACTAACCGCAAAGCTAGAGTAATGTCCGTTCTAAAGCTGTTATGCCCGTTAATACTACTGTCTATTTTATGTTTCGGTCTTATTCGCAGTGAAGCGAATGGACCTAAAGTTACTGACAAAGTAAGATTGGAATATTTGGGATCTTTCGAAATTCAGGTGTTCTTCGATATTGAAGTTGATGGAAAACCACTTGGTCGAATAATTATCGGATTGTTTGGTAAAACGGTGCCTAAGACAGTAGAAAATTTCAAACAACTTTCAATTGGCACTCAACTGGTAAGAATAAGCCAGATGTAGTTACGTTTATGAATTTAGAAGGATGGTCGAACTGCTTCATATAAAGGAAGCACTTTTCATCGTGTCATTAAGTCATTCATGATACAAGGTGGAGACTTCACAAACCACGATGGAACTGGAGGTAATATTGTGGTTAAATAATTTTCGCAGGTTTTAGTATTTATGGCGATAAGTTCCCTGATGAAAACTTCAAATTGAGACATGTGGGTGCAGGGTGGCTGTCAATGGCTAATGCTGGTAAGTTTATTCACTTATAATGACTACTGCAGGTCCTGATACAAATGGAAGCCAATTCTTTATTACGACCGTGAAGACCTCGTGGTTAGATGGAAAACATGTTGTTTTCGGAAAAGTTTTAGAAGGAATGGTTAGTTGGTTTTAGTTTTGTTATTACCTTGCAGAACATTGTTAGACAGATTGAAAATGAAACGACGGATTCAAGAGATAGACCTGTCAAGAGCATCAAGATAGCCAGATGTGGGCACATTCCCGTGGAAACAGCTTTCTCGGTAACGAACTCTGATGCTGTCGACTGAACTAGTATGAAGAATTTCTTATACTGTTTTGTATTTATGTACATTCGTGAATATAATTTAGTATGATGGATGGTTGTACAGATTTTCCAGGAAATTCATGTCAACGTTGGTCGTCGGTAGACATTCCTGACACTTATCTAGTGAAGATTTTAGTCCATCCAATATGATAAGGGTTGCTGTGACACATGCCTGAATGATTTCTAGTCATAATTCCGTCTACCTAGGCCGCTCTTAATGCTAGAACATTAGTTAACACTAATTTCTGTGCAGGCTAGATTTTAAGTATAGAACCAGCACTTTCTTAAATAAATTATCTGACGTCTTGCCAGGTTTCTAAACGCGCATGTGCCTAAAATTAATTTGAACGATTGAGCACAAGGTATTTGTTGGTGATTACGCAGTTCCAGGTCACGATAACCATACTTCCGTTTGTGATTTCGCATGTGCCCTTCCATTTGGCGTGATAATGCCCAGAGTGGTTGTACTACATTCACGTAAACATTTGTATCCAGTCAAGCATCTGTTGATTCACATGCATTTGACAGACCATATACGTACATATGAACTTTAACGCCATCGTCTCATGAGTACACTTAAAATTCATACATTTAACAACTTGGTAGCATTTATTCTACGGTAGTTGGAAAGACAATGTAAGATTAAGCCCATTCGTCAAGTTTTAGAGCACAGACACGCTTATCGGCGTCCGACAATGATAGTTTTTCTTGACTTGAAAGCAGCATTTGACTCTGTAGACCGAGAGGTTCTGTGGCAGTGTCTGTCATTGAAAGGTGTACCTGAGAAGTACATAAACCTTTTGAAGGCTCTTTACTCGAACACTATTAGTCGAGTGAAAGCTTATGGCGAACTGTCATATGATTTTACAACCTCAAGTGGTGTCCGTCAAGGCTGTCCACTATCCCCATTTTTGTTTAACTTCATTATAGACCTGTTGCTGGAAATAACACTCTCGTCGACTGAATTTTCAGGAATTGATCTTCTACCAGGGGGACCACTAAGCGACTTAGAATACGCAGATGACATAGTCCTGTTTGGTGAAGACGCTGGCAAAATGCAGAGTCTTCTGTTGGAACTCAGTAATAATGCCAGGATGTTTGGGATGCGTTTCTCCCCATCCAAATGTAAATTGTTACTCCAGGACTGGCCTGCGTCAACACTCGAACTAAGGATAGGGAGTGAAGTAGTCGAACGCGTCGACAACTTCACTTATCTTGGAAGTCTGATCAGCCCTAATGGGTTGGTGTCAGACGAAATCTCAGCACGGATTCAAAAAGCTCGTTTGGCTTTTGCCAACTTACGTCACCTATGGCGTAGACGAGATATCCGTCTATCAATTAAGGGACGAGTATACTGCGCATCAGTTCACTCTGTCCTACTTTACGGCTGTGAAACATGGCCATTAAGAGTAGAAGATACTCGTAGGTTACTAGTATTTAACCACAGATGCCTTAGAAATATTGCTCGCATCTGCTGGGATAACCGGGTAAGTGATAGTGAGGTTAGACGCAGGGTATTAGGGAACGATGGTAAATCAGTTGATGAGGTGATGAATCTTCATCGACTGAGATGGTTGAGCCATGTGTTACGTATGCCTGAACACCGATTACCACGACGCGCTATGATGACTAGTATTGGGGATGGTTGGAAGAGAGTTAGGGGCGGCCAAACCAAAACATGGCATCAGTGTTTGAAGTCACTAACTTCTAGCCTGAGCCATGTTGGCAGATGCAGACTACCTGGTTGGGGTCCGCGTGACTATCGTAACCAATGGTTGGAGACTAGGTGACATGGCTCAGAATCGGTCACAATGGCGTAGGTGTATACACTCCTTATCTTCCCTTAAACCTTGAGACTAAAATTGATTCATATCTCCCTTCCTGTACTATATCCTTATATACAACCTATAATTTATATACTACTACCAACACTAGATTAACTACTATGAATCCGGTGTTCCTCTTGTTGTGCTAACGAGGTATGGCAACTTGGACCGATGCATATATGTGCCTGGTCCTACGTTGTAGCTGACTGACTGTAAGATTAAGGCCTTGACTTCCTCTTAGAAAAGTTTATGAAATGGTTTGAATCTACCAAACTTGAACTCAAGTAAAATTATTTTTTAGCTTATGTAGTAGTTCACTAAATTACAGACACACATAATCGTTGCTACTTCTGAATCTGCAGACTTTATGGAAAATTAGAAATACATATCACCTATTATTCTTTGACCCTTAACATATCAACTAAGTATGTCACTATTGTTCTCATGATATGATGTGGCACGACTACTGCTCGAACGTATCCATAGTTATCGATGTACGCAAGCAATGTACATCATAGTTTGGTTATTCGGAAAGTTTATAACAATGTTTTGTGTGAATATCAGAAAACCCATAAATTACTTCTCAAACTTGATATAGCACATTCTAGTTTCGAGTCATTTCGGTACTGCTATCTTTTTCAGATTACACATCATCGAAGTCCATGAGTTCGTATATATGCGTGCGCTAATTGTCCACTTGTTCCAGAGATAGTGTTTCTGGATGGACGGAGCACAAGGTGAACGCGTTCTATTAAGGACTGCGCAGCTACTACAAAGTTGTTGGCTGGGACTTTCAGTAGTAAATTTTGTAGTTCCTGTGTCCACTGCTTTCATGGTTTGTATTACTATAGTTTTCAAACGAATTTGGTATGATTATTAAAGCCTTAAAATACTACCATGAACTTTTTCAGACATTACATGTCAACATTGCGACAAATATAGAGCGGAGGCTTCATGGTTAAGATGTTCGACTCCTAACCATCAAGTCCTTGGTTCGAACCTTATTCCGTCTACTTCGGTCTGCCCCACCGGGTAGTGTCATCGGCCCTCAAGCACCCAGATGCCTGGTGGATATGTTGATTTATCCAAAGTACCAAGGAATCCCTAGGGTTGTAAACCAAACTTAAGTTACATTTATCAAGATGGCTAGTCAATGCAAAAGTAGGAAAGTAGAATAGATTGATTTCTCTATCAATTTTATACAGTTTTGTGATAAACGAAAGCTTATAGTGATAAGATATATCACTACACACTTGCATATATGTTGCTTGTGGATTAATAAATCATTCACATTATTTTAAGCGATAAGAAGAGGCAAGTAATACATTTTCAAAGTTAAAATCACACTGTAAATAAATAAAATGAAATCAAAGTTGGTTGAGACTATAGAATGGTATGTATGGGGTTAAGCAGTTTTCTTCTTTTTCTTATGTCGGTTCTTATGCTTTTTTGCTTTATCTTTAGACGAAGTGATGTCTGTTTGTTTAGGGCTATTACTAACAATGGAAGATTCATTTTTATCATAGAGGACTTCGGGGTTTACTAGACTTGCTGATGACTGAGCTACTGGGGTCGGTTTATTTTGACTGACTTCATTTATGACAGGCTCGTTTGATTCGCCAGCTTTATGCACACATGAATCTATCTCAATGGCTTTTACTTCTGATTTAGTTTGTTTTGTATCTGATTTCAGATGGTTTAAAATTGTAGGTGAACTGCTGACAAATAACTCCGAATCATTCCCAACATCACTTTGTATGATACTTTTGTTTAGGATGTTCTCCTTAGAAACGGGTTCTACTATTAAGTTAGTATTATATCGATCTTCCGTCTTGTTAGATGGCTTGATTAATGTCCCTGATCCTGAATTAGTACGTTCTAATGTTTCAATGGTTTTAATTTTTTCCTGGTCATTTTGTGACAGTTCAGCATGCGGATCAGGCTCAAAATCCTGGAGAACTGGAGGCAATTGAGTATCTGAGAGTTGTTTAGGAGTACCAAAAGCATTAAAGTCAGTCAGATCGATCTGATTAAGTTGATTTTGTTCTGAATCTAAATGGCTCTCTGCAATCTGAGAGAAAACTGAACTCCAATCACATTCGTTTGCTTTTCCTGCTATCTCTTTATTAGGTTTGTCCTTCTCATTTTGCCATATTTTTTCCAACTCAATATTTCTAGTTTCGGATTTTCCAGAACTATGTATTATCTCTCCTTTCTTATTGGGCTTGAGACTAGGCCATCCTTCACCCACAAAAAGTCCATGGTAAGATAATTCATTAGACTGAGAGACAACAGGTTGTTGACTGTTTTTCGAAGTGCACTTACTAGTTGTTATGTGTTCTGTTCTTACTGTTGTTGAATGTCCATCAAAAAACTGACTCATTTCAGCTTCAAACTGTGGTTGATCTAACTTGGCCAAAGTAGAAACCCATTCCGAGCTATTTTTGTTGGATGTACTTTCACTTTTATACCTTTGAGTATTATGAAACGCTAAATTTGAAGACAGCTGAGATTTATCTGCTGCATGATTATGTTTTGAGACATAGGAGTTAGAATTATTAGTTTTCGGCTCTGGATCCACCTTTTTGCTGTTGGGCCAACCGTCTCCAACAAAAACGCCATGGTATGGGAGTTTCTCTCTCGACATACCATTTGATGAAAGTGGTGGGTATTCCGAAAAGAAGTCATGTTCTGTATGACTTTTATCACTGTCAAATGATTTTTTAACAGATGGCACATTACTAAGAGGCTTCGGACTATTCGCCGTCCGAGGAAGATCAGAGAGCTGAGCGCTAGAATCTTGGGGATGAATACGAGATAATTTATTGAAGCCATAAGTATTATCTTCATGATCAGCGTCATAACCCGAGATTATACCTCCAGTTTCTGTGTTTCGCGAGAGATTATTTGATACGCTAGTATGTGTCAAGATGTCTTGCCCAGTGAGCGATTTTTCTCGTTCCTCTTGCTCTTTATAACGTTTCCGAATAGTTTTACCACAATCTGTCCAGTTGAGAGCTTTCTTCCCAAATCGACTAGCATGAGTTTCTTTAGATTCAAAAGTTTGTTCTCCGTGCACAGGAGTAGTGTGTTGGTGTGTTTTAGTGATATTGTTTTTTTGCTCTTTTACTGAGTTGCTTATCTCACCTAAGCCGATATGTTTGGTTATCAAATCTAATGAATGTTCATTTGATGAAGATTGTGCTGTTTCCTTCTTTTGAGCTGAA